GACAGCATACGGTATGGATGGTTACACTGCAGTTTGTTTTGGATTGTGTTGCACAGCAGATGCGGGTGGTTTGCTTTTTTAAGGGCGGGTATCTTGTGCTACTTCTGTGGTGTGGTGGTACAGCAGTGGGTCTGGTCCGGTGGGTGGTACAGCATTACTGTTCTACATGTGTAATGTCCCGGGGGTGTAACATTACACAACAGATGCAGCTTACCTTGCTTGAATGTCGGTCGGTACTCTGAAGGTAGTACGTACCGTACACCTGCAGTAGGCAGTGTAACAATACACAACAGATGCAGCGTACCTTGTTTGAACGTCACTTGGGACTCCGGAGGTAGTACAGCTTTACGGTCTATAGATACGTACTGCAGCAGGGAGTGTAATAATTACACAACAGCTGTACCATGCGTATCACTATACTCACCCTTACCGAAGTCCATCCATACATGGTGAAAACCGGAATCCCTAGCCATCCCCGCCCACCCTGGTGCCCTCGAATTCTCGCACCTCGCCCACTAGTCAAGCTCAGAATCCGTGGATGCGAACGAGGCACGATCAGATAAAATTCTGCGCTTCACCTCCGGCCACCACCTCTCCATCCCATCTCCAGAATGCTCCAGTAAACATGACAATTTATCGATACTGCAAGTCATCAACCCATAACCAACCCTGATCTAATCAATGATCCCATCCAGTGGATTATCCAGGAAGTAGCGATACCGGCGCCCGGCAAGCGGAGCTGCAACTGAACCCAACACGCACCCACAACAACATCATGGAACCCACCATCGGTGGGCCAGGTAAAACTTCTCTTTCCGCCCGACTTCCAAGGCCTGTCATGCGCGACGGCGTCATGTTTACGGAGGGGGGGGGGGGGTCCACTGTCGCTGCCGTCGTCTGCTTAACACGCAGTAAGTGGGATGGAGTTATCTGATCGGGATCCAGTCCTTTTCCCGTCACCACCCTTAGGTCGGTGGTTACACCGATAATCATAATCATAGCCCAGTAGAGTGTAAACTGATGGAAAGTGGTGGTAGACTAGGCGAAAGAGCAAAGAAACTAGTTACGCCACCGTTCCTAGTCTTCAGCCTGCCCCGGAGAGGAGCGGTGCTGCCTGGTCGGGTAGACCGTATGTATGGTATACGAGCAGAGTTTTCACTCACTCCTTTGGTGACTTCATCGTCGTCACTTTGTCGAGGAACAACTCGACATGCCCACAGTACTACATATGTATGGTTGACGAGAATCAGATCGCCTTTCTTGGAAGAGATGATGGTAGGTTGCACGGTCGGCAATCCGGCTCAGACATGCTGTGGCTGATGCTGCCGCCAAGTCGATTCTCGCCCGTCTAAGCTTTGCGTCCAAGAGTCCAAGAGTCCAAGAGTCTAAGAGTCCAAGACACCAAGACACAACCAAGACACAACCAAGACTGTCCAAGACACCAAGAAAAGCCAAGTTTGATGTCCATCCGACTACACGGTAGAACAACGTATGCACTCAAGCACGATCCCCCCACTACAAAACAATATATGCAGGTTGCAGGCAATGCAGGTGAATTAAAAACTAGATACAGAGGTATAAACTAAACAGCCCGTGGTCATGGACTGCAGATAAAAACGGGGTAACATGTAAAAACGGCCAAGCGCCAGGTATCTGTGAGTTTGAAGCAGCGCTTCCTTCCCCTTCCTCTCCCCTTTTGGTGATGTTAATGTTGATGTGGGTGTTGCTGTTGTTGCTGCTGTTGCTGCTGCTGCTGCTGCTGCCTACCACACCATACCGTGGACCTGCTTCTTCTTGCGCAGATCGATGTCCCGGATCATGAACATCCAGATGAACGACAGCACGAACAGCCCCGTGCCCGCGGCCAGCATGCGGGTCTGGGCGTAGCCGTAGGCCTCCTGGATGGCGGTGCGCACCGCGCTGCCGACCGGGTAGCTGAGCTGGGTGTTGATGTCCTCGTAGATGTCGTCGATATCCGGCAGGGCCGAGGCGGGCAGGTACTTGTACAATCCCTTCTCGAAGGTGTTGGTCCATATGGCGCCGGAGATGGTGTAACCGATGCTGTCGCCGACGGTACCGACGACGTTCAGCAGGGCCAAGGTGGCGGCGACGTGACGGTGATCCACGGCAGCCTCAACGGCGAGCTGCTGCACGAGAATAAAGACCGAGCCACCGATTGAAATGAAGACCTGGCACATGACCAGGTAGCCCACACTCTGATTGGGGCGACGGAAATAGATCATTAGCCCCTGGGCGAAGATATATAGCGGCACTGCCCAGTACAGCAGCCAACGGAATTTGCCGGTGCGCGAAATCAGCCAGCCGATGAACAGCAGCAGCACCCCGGACACCACGTCAAACGTGTTGTTAACGTACCCCGCGTCCGCGACCGAGAGGTCGTTGACAACCTGCAGGAACGAGGTGAAGTAGCTGTCCCAGCAGTAGTAGCAAACTTGATACGTCGCGTCCAGCAGGCACGCTCCCAGCACCGTCCGATCTGTCAGGTACTTGACATTCAGGAACGGCACCGGCGCAAAGAAGTACTCCCAGATCGCGAAGAAGATGATCATCGAGAATCCCACCACGATCATGGCGATGATATATCCCGTCTTCCAGCCATCGGGGGCCATAGTGGCGATGTCGAATGGCAGGAAGAAGACGACCAGTCCGGCGGAGAAGAGAAAGACGCCGACCACTGCATCCAAAGTCAGTGGGAGTCAGTCAACAGGGGGGGCAGGGTAGGGAAGGGCATACCGTCAAACTCCATGGCCCAGAACCAGATATTCTGGGTCAGGGTGCGGCCGCTGCGCTCGCGCACGAGGCGACCCTCCTTCTTGGCCTTGTTGGTGTTGTACCGCAGGATGCAGTACAGCGGGGCCGCGACGATAGGGAAGATGATGGCGAAGGCGCCGAAGGCCCAGCGCATGCTCATGCCCAGCGCGTCCTCACCGGCCTTAGGACCTGCAAAAGCGGAGATGATGTAGGGCGACGAGGTGAAGGCGTAGGCCAGCGCTCGGTTGCGCAGCTGCGACGCGTCGGCCGTCAGGGTGTCCACGCAAAAGGTGATGCCCGAGAAGCCGACATTATAAAACACGTAGCCCGCGCAGAAGCTGGGCAGGTTGCTGCACGCCGCCATGATGATCAGTCCCATCGTCGAGATGATGGCCATGAAGGCGAAGCCCTCGGCACGGCCCCATACGTCCATCAACTTGGCCAGCGGGATGAAGATGGCCGCCGTGCAGCAGTCGGAGACCACATAGATGACATTGAGCAGCGAGTGCGAGTCCCAGGCCGAGGTGAGATAGGGGACCAGCGTGGACAGGATTTCGCTTTGGAAGGCGTTGACGAAGTAGAGGAACCAGATGCTGGGTTTGTTAGTGGGGATGCTGGATGATGTTGCGGAGACTGGGGAGCTGAAGAAAAGGGGGGTCCGGGGGTTCTCCCCCGGAACGGTATATTGGCCCAGCACTCAGGATTGAAGTTGTTGGGAAGATGAAAACCAAGACAAGGCAAGGGGGCAGGGCAGGCGTACTTGATGAAGACGGCAATCAAAGACGCCTTGGTCCAGGTGGCGGTGATGGCCTCGACGGTGTGAGTACCGGCCTGATCCTCGGTGGATTCGGGGTGTTCCTCGTCCGAGTCGGTGTTGGTGCTATCGGTGGTGGGGGCTACGCCGGCCTCGACGTTCTTCTCGCCAGGCAGGGCGCTGCTGGTGCCCTCGACGGGGGAGGGCAGGGTGACGGCGGTGCCGGCGTCATCCGTCGTCGACCGACGGAAGGGAGCCCGCAACTTGGTGAACATGTTGGAGGGCGGGGTGGGTGAGGGTGGAACTCCGAAGGGAAGGGTGGGATGGAAGAAGTCGAGCAGGTGCAGCGCAAGGGGAGGTCCATGCCCTTTATAAAAGAATAAGCAGTGGTCATCGCCGTGGGGGATTCTTTGCCGGGGCTAGCGCTGCGTGACTCGGAGAGCAGTCTTTTACTGAGTAGGAAGTGTGCTCCGATCCACCAGGGCCATCTGATTATGCTGGCTGGGTATGGCTGCGTTAGTGTGGGCAAGTAAGTTTACGTAGGAGCTACGGTGGGGCGACTCGTTTCTTGACTTTCTTGGGTTTCTTGAGCAGTGGCTAAAGGCTCCGGCCGGCTGGAGAGGGACAGAAGAGAGGGTGAACGGGGAGAAACGGAGCTGTGTTGATTGTAGATTGAACTGTATGTATGTATAGTATTGTAAGCTGGTAAGGGAGGGGTGGTATCGCGTATGGTACGGTACTGCCAAGCGGAGAAAAGAGGGGCACTGGGATAGCACGAGAATTGGCGCCCCTCTTAATGTAAACCCCACTGTGCGTTCTCACGCCGTGTCCACCTATCGCTAAATTCTCGGACCGCTCTTGGTTTGCTGGCAGTGGTGAGCAAGAATTCTCTCGCTTCGCGGTGAGGGTTTTCTCGGTGAGGGTTGAATACTTATCCAGCATCCAGTCAGTGGTCGCCCAGTGATGCAGGTTATCTGATCGCGATCTTGTCTTATCTGATCCGTGGCCCTGGTATCAGATTTTTCAGAGTGTCACCGGTGGGGATGGGCCTGGTAGACCACCCAACAGTCCTAGAGCGTCTGACACAGAGTACACTACACACAGTAACTTTTAGTGTTCCACTAGTACGTGGCCTGGCTGCAACGTAAAGTGGTCACTTCGTGATAAATAATTATCTGACTCCCCACCCGAGAAAACTCTGTAGTCTCTGACCAGCGAAGTAATAACCCGATGAAATGACTTACTTGAGGAGAATTCAACATTCATCGAAAAACTCTGCTTGACAAGTCTAAATCAACATTCCTCTTCATACTTGGTTGCAGTAATCTCAGCTACATTTCTCGAATCTCGCCTTCGATAGCCAAGTCAGGGTCATGTAATTTGTGAAGTTGGCTGGCAGGACCGGTTGGATGCGCTCAGAATTGGATGTGATGATATTGAATTACTTACTTCTCCTATCTTCATTCGGTGCCACTTAGTCCCGCCACGGTCGCCCCAGGCCACATCCGCTACAGCTTGGAGGTGTGATGTCTGCCAGTCGTCGAGTGGTTCCTTGACGTACTCCATGCACCACCATGACCCGGTGCACTGATGGGTTCTCCTCATACTGCAATGGGTCGTCCCCCTGCGTAGACGACATTCCCTTACCGGTGGTTATCCACACCCCCTTGCTAGTTTGCCCGACGGTCGAGTTGCCGCGACTGGCGATGCTAGTGCCGTTTCTTCTAGGCACGCGCTTGACTCTGTTCGCAACTGGGAGGTAGCCCGACGGCAAGAGGTTTGAGCGGGCAAAATGCGTATGCTTACACCTGTGAGAGGTGGGATGATCCCGTGAAGAACGGGGTGGCTGCATGGTTGGGCGGATTGCACGTCGTCGTGCCACATGTGGGTAGATAGGGATGTCGGTGGTGTCTGCGTGCTCCAGTGCGATGATGGACGATGGCGATAGAGGCAGGCTACGAGTCAAGACGGTAGCGATGGTAGTGATGATGATAATGCATCTGTCGGTGGCGGACATTGCCTTCCGTCAAGGCGGTCTTGAGCTTGTCTCAATGGCTCACGTTGGAGGGGCTCGAGCTCAGTGGCAATCAAGTTGCCCGGGATGCTGCTATTGCCGCAGGGCCACACGCCCGTCGGACTAGTCGGTGGTTCTGCTGGAACTGGCAGGGACAAGAACTACTAGTGTCATCATGACACTGGGTAGGCCGGCACCGGAGCCCACGAGGCTAGGAGATTGGAAGGATGATGGCGCGGAGGTAGTCGGTGGGCGGTTGCTGTTTCTGTTGGCTGACAAGTCCGGCTGCATCTCACCCTCATTTTCAAGTGTCGTCTGCGCAAAGGGCCGATAACACCTTCAGTTGACAGTATGGGTTTTCAACTCAGCAACTGGTAGCATCGCAGACGATTCCACTGGGAATCAGAAGATTGGAGCCAATTCCGGACCATTAACGTGCTGCAGCCCACTGCAAGACTTTAGCCGGTGTGGAACGATGCTTGAGTTTTCTTCGCGGTGGGGCTGGAATTTGGGATGACGCCAAGGACTAGGATTGATAGTTTTGTATGGGAGTCCAGGGGTCAGGGTTGGCGGCAGCGTGACAGTCAGGCTTCCTTCTGTAGGCCGAGATTTGATTAATTGGATTGCAGTCGTTGAACTAACCCCATCGCAATTCGACTGTGTTTGTTCAGTTGTGCTGGATTTGGCTCACTTGAAGTGTGGACTGGTACTGCAGTGGAATTGGCTTTACTGATGTGGTCTAACTGTCTGCAGGGAAATTATCTACAAAGCTAGAGCCAAGGGGGTAAGCCTTCGGGACTCTTCTTGCTGGGGTGAATTGGCTTGGTTTGATGGACCCAGCTTCTGAGATGTTCAATCCACATTTTATATATCCAGCCGGATCTAGACATAGAACAACATACAAGACCTGGATCTCGACCTCGTTGGATGTCGACATAATATATTCAGACTTAGATCCTGTCTTCAGACGAATGATAGACATGAATAGTTGATATCCCAGGAGCTTTACTCGTATCCACGAGAAAGAGGAAGCTGCGAACATTGGTGCCTTGGGACTAGCCGGAGACGAGGACTGCAGAAAGGGCCGATGTTCGAATTACAGGACCTTTTTTGACCTTGTCCGTTCACATAGACGCGACGATGTATACTCAATCGATTTCTACAGTGGGCTTGGAAGAGCTTGATGTAGAGGTTTGTCCAGGGGAACGCAAACCATGAGAGTGACGGGATTGAGATCACACATGATCTGTATGTGTGATTTCTGGCTTCCATTTCCCTGCAGGTCAACTGTCGGCCCGGATCGAGTTTTCCAGACGGATTTTAATTTCTGGCATGTTGCCAGATTCCAAGATGTATGCTGTTCAGCACAGCGGCGATGTCTAACGTGTTCCAACTCTCGACCAAAGACCGGTAACTCATCATACACTATGCGGGCTACGATCGTGTGACGGTGTTTCCAACATATGAAATTCCCTCAGGACCCTGTTGTATGGATGGCGCTATGAAGTAGAGAGAGCGAGTGAAAGATCCGATAGGGGCAGTCGCAGTCAAGGCCGACAGCACTCATTGCTCCTTCTCTCCCATGGCTCAGAGCGTGGACTGTATCACCACCTGCCCTGTTGGTGCCACCACTGATGCACCTTGATCCCCTACTTCTTCATCTACCTATATTCATTCTCTTATATCTCTCCCTTCACACTCTTCGGAAGGTTTCTTAGCTCATGTTGTGTCTTGAACATCATGCAGGTCCCCGTTCTCATCACTTGGGCACTGGTCCTTCTGTCGTCCCTGGGACAAGGATCGCCGACCGGCTGCGTCGATGGCCTCTGTCTCATGACGCGAGCTGGACTGACGGCATTTCAAGTTGAAACCGAGCTTGGTCCACTACTCTGCAACGCCTCCAGTGTCTTTGGCCCCGACGATCCTCGCTGGCTGGGTGCCACCCTGCGATATGACGAATTCCTGCCTCCCCAGTTCGTAGTCATCGCCCAAGTCGGCTGTGAGTCCGATGTCTCCACCGTGGTAGGTGTCCTGCGTGGGGCAATCCGACTATTGGCTAAGGTGAAGTAGATTCAGTATGCGAACAGAAACAGCATTCCCTTCTACACGATCAATCGAGGCCACGGGTGGCCGATATCTCAGGGCACATTCCGAGGGCTAGGAATTGACCTACGGCTGTTGCAGGATGTTACCGTAAACCACACGAGACAGACTGCCACTGTGCAAGGAGGAACCGAGACACAAGACCTGATCGATGCGCTTTGGAAAGAGGGTCTAGTCACCAGTAAGTGGCTGGTACTCCCCCAAAGTCTGGGTAGCTGACGTTGGCTCCGCCCTAGCGACCAGTATCTGCGCGTGCATCGGACATGTTGGCCCAGCCATCGGTGGAGGTCACGGGAGATATCAGGGCCAGTATGGGATGATGAGCGACAACTTTGTGAAGTTGAACGTCGTTCTCGCCAATGGAAGTTCCATCGTCGTCTCCAATGATTCCCATCCGGACTTGTTCTGGTCGATGAAAGGGGCTGGCCACAACTTCGGTGTCGTGACAAGCCTCGAAATCAAGGTCTACCCACCCCCGACCCAGACCTGGTACTTTCGAAACTACTTCTACACGGAGGATAAACTCGAAAACCTGTTTCAGGAACTCAACAACCTCATAGGCAACGGAACCCAGCCGCTCGAACTGGACTTCCATTTCGGCCATTACGAGTGGAACCCGCGTTTCAACCGCAGCGATGTAAGTTCTCAGACCCCTGCGTTGTTGCGCCCCCGACTGACAGCGACGAGGCCGTGATCTGGTGGTCATTCAATTTCCTTGGCTCCGAACGCGAAGCAGAAAAATACCTGGCGCCCTTCGACAATCTCGGTCCGATCAACGTTGTCGGAGGCGCCGTGCCCTATCCCGCCATGCCAGATGCGACGCGCAACGGCAGGATCAGTCTGCCCTGTACGAAGGGACTATCGAAGATGATGTCTACCACCGGTCTCCAGATATTCAACGTGACAGTATGTCGTCGGGCGTATGAACTGTTCAATACGTACTTGAAGGCGTACCCAGCACTGAAGCCGTCCATTCTTCTGTTCGAGGCGAATAACCCGGCAGCGGCCCGAGCAATTGACCCTCGTAGCTCTGCGTTTCCCCATCGTGATGATAATAGTCGGGTGTACGATTTAAAATCCTCCCCGTGCACTGCGACGCAGAAAGTGGAAAGCTAACGCTCACGTGCTAGACTTGCTATGATAGCTTATTTGCCCACCCTCCGTCTCGAGGAACCCGCATCGCAACTTGCCAGCGGCATACTGGACGCTATGCTAGACGGCCAGCCAGACAGAGTGCCAGCGACCTATGTCAACTATGCATTTGGGCATGAGTCGCTGGAGTCCGTGTACGGCTACGAGGCATGGCGGTTACAGAAGCTGCGAGCCGTCAAGACCGAGTACGATCCTGACAACAAGTTTTCCTATTATGTGCCCATTGTCCCAGTTGCGGAAGATAGTGCATGAGACTGCTACCTCGTGTACATCTGAGCTTTGGAGAACCTGGAATCTTGTCATGGAGGAATCGCTACCTTGGAAGTGGAGTTTCATTGGGAAGCGATTATCTTACTATACGCTAAGCACCACCGAGCTGGGTGGATAGGGATGGGAGGGGTCTATGGAAATAAAGGCTCGACTATTCCACTAGAAATCCTTACCCACCTCTTTCGCAGTCTTGTTTATTTGCTGAATAAGTTGATCGATATCTTCCTCGCTCAGTGGTCGAATTGACTAAGAAGGGGGGAGGGGTGCAATTTCATGTCCACCCAATATATACTGTTGTAAACTGTGATCTGGGGAGGAGAATTAGTAAGCGAAGAGGCAGGAGGAAGTGGAGATGATCGTGCGTGTGGCCTTGTGGGCAGCTCGCGCTCTGTTGACTACAGAGTTCCAACAGAATACTAAAATATGTATGCATTCAATATCAATTCCTCGATGGTCTAACGGTCATGATTTCCGCTTGTCACTCCTGCCAAGGAACAAGCGCGGGAGACCTGGGTTCGACTCCCAGTCGGGGAGATCCTCGTTTTTTAGTTCCCCGTGCCCTTCTTTGTTTTCTCCCTCTTTCCTGGTCCCCATTGTTTTCATTCCTTTGTTTCCAGTCTACCTACTTATCCACCGTCATTTCCTACCTTTCTTGTTCCCAAAGGCCTCAATACCAGGAAGCCCATGCATCACAACAAGAATGGATTAACGACATTCCCACTGTCCCTATCTACTATCTAGCGAAACCACAGCCAAGGGAACGGGCTTGGCGGAATCAGCGGGGAAAGAAGACCTTGTTGAGCTTGACTCTACGGGCTGACGCTCAGCGACTCGTAGCAACAAGGTGACGCCTTGACCTAATCATCACGGGAGGCACAATCTGGACAGTGAATAATAAAAGATACGCGATCCTTTGTCTCTATCAGCATCAAAGAGCAAACAAACATTGTTACCCTGACTGATGTGGGCTGACGGGTGAAGTTCGGAGTATATAAATGAACATCCGGATTGTCAGGTCCCCCCCGGCGGTCCCCGCAAGAGTCCAATCACTCCTAGCCTCGACTAAATAGTATACTGGGTGTAATAATGTCTGTCCCCGACTGTGCTTCGTCTGACGCGCCTCTCGACCTGGCTGCACTTTCCGCCGCGCAGGATGTCTTCATCGAACTCTAGTTCTTTCACTATTCCCAGCTTTATGATTCCGGGGTGGTCCGAAGGGAAATACCCTGGATCCGCATGTGGGGTGGGCCCCAGCAAGATCTGGCCTGCTTTCTGGAAGCCGTGATGTGGTCGCTGATCGGGGTTGAAGAAATGGAAGAGCGCCCGATGGATAGTAGTTCCGCGTGGGGGAGATACCCGTGGGGGCCTCGAGCTGGTCTCCTACCACTGGGGTCATTACGCGCCCACCTTGGCCCGACTCCACCGGGAGGGGAGGGAACGGGCGCGGAAGCTCCTGGATCCCGATTTCTGGCAGACCTCCCCTTGGAACGACTGGAAGCCGACTGCCACCTTGGCCATGGTCTACCTGGAGCAGGCCTTGGCGGCCCTGGGCGATCCGCAGATTGAGGCAACTATCCGTGCTATGATCCGGAAGTACGTAGGTGCCGCCGCCGTCGCTCGGATGGACACCGATAACACCCAGCAACCGCGCCATCCCACCCCGTTCAAACATGGCCACGAGTGCCAGGTCTGTTGCCGCCCGCTGGGGGACAATCTTCAGGCTATCTTCTGGTGCAAGCGATACTGTGGCTACGCCGCCCATGCCGTCTGTATCCGCAAGTGGTGTCGGGGACGGGCGAGCCCTGTGGCCCCGTATCGAAACACTTGTCTGCAGTGTCGCCAACCCTGGCTGAGTCCCTGGGGGGGGTTGTCTCAGGAGGGCCACCCCCGATGACGAGTGTCGCTGCCGTCGCAGAAGGCGTAATGACGCCGATCGCCAGGCGTTCCTCGCCGTTCCTCCAAATGTGCAGCGCCAGATCTCTCAGTGCCTGCGCGAGCAGCCTCGCCAGCCCCTTGAGTGGCATAGTTTGTATTAGGGCTCATGGTGGGCTACCGGTCGCAATTTGGCATAACCCCAACTTGGCTGGCGGATTGCCTTGCCAGTCATAGGGAGGCAAAAGAAGGAAACAAACTAGTGTTTTCGCAACGCCGCACGTAGGAAGGCGGGTGAAGTTCGAGAAGACGGAGAGGTAGTTGACTCATGTAAGAAAAATGTGAGCAGCGCCCAATGGCTCGACCTCTACATCAGTGGCACAGTTTGTATGAGTTCCCATTAGGCCCAAGGATGGGCGAGGGGGTCCAGATTACACTCTACTCTCCGGAGACAGTGTTGGAAATTCATAGGGACAATTTACCAATCGCTTGACCCTGGTCCAGTCCAGACTGAGATCTTGCTGCCCTCTGAGGGCAATTCCCCCTCTCACCTCTCCAGTCGGAGTACTCCATTCCCCGGACCAAGGGTGATCCTGCAATCGAAGGAGGTCAAGAGTGGACCGCATGATTGCTCCAAGATTCCAGGCTATTGGACCGTACTTCTTCGTAAACCGCAATTGCGCCGATGGTTATGGTCGAAATTCTGGGGGACTTGCATTACAAGCTCTAAGGTCAAGGTTCAAGGTTCCATCGTCCCCTGCCATGCCAATCCCGTCACGGGACGGTGCGTAGGTGCGGCAAACGCAGATCGCGGGCATCCGCACCTCATCTCCCATGCCCCCTTCGACAATCCCTTTGCCCTTTGGCACAATCTCCGGGGCATTTCCAGACCCTTCTCCCTCTTTTCGAAACATCTACTCCTTCTTTCTCCGATGCAACAGTCGCATTAGCTCTTCAATCCGTCTTCCAACAATTCTTCATGCTCTTTGTTGCTTACACAGGCCGTGGATGTGATCGTGCCCACTAGCCCTACTCACTGCCGAAAGCAGTGGGCAGTAGTGTGTCTGGCCAGCAATCTTCATCAATCAACTAGAGGCAACCATCTCTTCATCCATCTCGTTCCTATCGTCCCCTCACAATGCTACCTGAACACTAATGTGCCTGTTGCTTGCAGAGAAGCCCGCGGACGCCGACCGACCCGTTTATCTCAGTCGCAGAAGGGTATCACCGCCATATCGATGCGCCCAACAGAAACATTACCACGCCCGTAAACCTGATCCCCTCAACGCAGTCAGATCTCTGCCCAAGCCACCTACAAGGTCGGCATCATTTCACGGTATTCCGGTGCATTTCCGCAAGTTGTTGATAGCAGCTGCCATACAAGACCTCTCTATTCGACCAAACTACCTTCTGAGAAGACACACACACTTACACACATACACAAACAGGTCTCCTGCCCTTCAGAACCTGTACCCTCTTGATGCTTTGACAACAGAGCTGGCTCGATAGAATGAATAGATGGATGGAAAAGTACATGGTCCCGAAGGGCTATTGTTTGCGGCCCTGCAGCCTCAGTAGCCAGACTGCCGCCCACCGCCCGCCCACCCCGATGTTCTCGGTGGTTCTTAGCTAGTTGTTCAAATAGCCCCACGTAGTCTGGATTTATCTGAGTAAGTAGGTACCTAGTTGGCAGCGCTCACCACTTTGGCCACTGTGTAGGAAGTTTCTCCCGGATAGCCAGACTGTCCCCCATGTACATGCCCCCCGGCATATTGCAGGATGACGCACCTTGCAATAGCTATTGGGCGTCCGTATCCGATGATTACCTAGGCAGTTGCAATCATTCACGAAATTGTGTTCAATATAACTATACCTAACTTGTGGAATAAGAATAAAATAATGTGATGGGCATTCATGTACTTGTTTAGATAGCCCCACGTATAAGGATCGCAATTTTACCATAGAGATCAAGCTGGTAATCTGCATGGTTTTCTCGGCCTTTTACTTCTGAAGTATAATAGTTATTTTCTCCATAGTGGACGAGGTCCAGCCATCCTAAGCTTAGAATAGAATATTAACTGACTTCCGCCATTTATTGTTCTGGATTGGTTCTATTCCTCCCCACCCAGCTTCCGGCATGAGCACGAACGCTGGCAGGGCCGAGGAAAGGTAATCCACAGGGCCCGACAGTATGGGCAAGATGGCATATCCCGCAAACCACCCCTGAGCACATACTGTTGCTCAAAACACAGGGCGTGAAAGGTACTGCCACACTGCGGTTTACACCAGACAAACTCGCCAACACTGTCCGGCTCTAGCCCGCCCCAGCGAATGGGGCAAGTGGCGTCCTCGGACTGAGTCACCTTCATGAACGGGCGATCGAACCGGTGGACCGGTGGCCGGCGCTCGTCGAGTCGAGATACCGCCGCAGGGTCTAGATAAGGATGGACTGCAGCTCGCATTGTGGAATGCGCCTCTGGACTCGTTAATTGAGAGCAGGCAATGCAGTATTGGTGCACAAAAGCCTATGGAGTAGGCCTTCCAGTCCGGTCGATCCCATGACGGGCGATCCCAGGCATTCCGATGTATCACTCTACGGATCCCTTCGGTCAACATCTCTTGCAGCATTCCCCTATAGTAGCCCCAGTGATGGGAGACGAATTCGAGCTGATGCCGGTGATCACTCCCAGCGGTCGCATCCCAGATGTACACGCCGCGTTTGAAGTCGACGTCGTTCTCTTGCTTCGCCCTGAGCCTTTCCTGATAGAGGATGATATGCAGCGTAAGCCCGCCTAAGTCCATGAAGCCGAGCATATCTCGGTCCATGCCGAGCGCATGCGCAACCGGAGACCCCCCTTTCACCAGCCGCCAAGAAGTCCAATCTACATGGAGATTATGAGCAATGTTTTCCATTTTTTGAGCAAGCATTTCCAGTACGACCATGTCAAGAGTGGGTTCCGCGGACGGAACCATCTTGGCTTCTGGGCAACAGGGACGGGTTGAGACAGACATACCTTCAGCGTGGTAGTGGCAGGGAAGAGGAACTGTGCTTGCAGACCGGGGGCAGGAGGATGCGGGAGAACAAAGGATGACGAAGATGTTTGACGGGGTGGTGCTGATCTGCAGCTATTTATAAACCACTCTGACAATGGGAGGAGATTGATAGAGCGGGATTGACGGTGTGACTTCTCATTGTCTGATTGCTTTAGGAACTAAAGATTTGAGTCTTCCCGGTGTGGCCTTGTAAGGAACTATAAGAGAGAGTAAAAAGAATCAGGGATTGCAACAAAGGTCACATAAAGACAAGGTGTAGAGCAGTGCATCCCACCACTGCCAGCAGTCTGCTTCGCATCAAAGGGCTGTCCGGCTGCTCAACCAAGCGCAGAGACTCTGTGACAAAGCAATTGTCGAGTCACTGACTCTGTATTGCAAGCATCTCTTTCCACGTTATGTAGACCTCTCTGCCTGTATTCAGAAGTCTCAAAAAAGTGGCGGATGACCGCACAATGAAACCAAAGGGAAAGGATTTGGAAACTGTGAACAGACCGGGCACAGAGCAAAGATGCGTGGATCTATCATCATGGGTAACCTTTCGGGTGGCCTGCCGAAGAGATTGGAAGAAGCTATGTGATCTGTGCTCGTTCCTCAGTGCTGCTGTCCACTGCTTACCTAGCTGCGAGGGCTCGCAGCTTGCGTGCAAGAAGAACCTCGCTTGCAAAGAATCCTCCCTTGTATGAATTGCCAAACCTTGCATTCTCCATCATCCATTGTACGAGTATCTAACTACCATTGAACCAGCGTGAGTGGGGGACCATCGGTCCCCTACACAGTCTGTGTTTGGATGGGGTGCGGGAGTCCGTGCAGAGGACGGCAGAACAGCCTTGTAGAAAAGGCGGTAAGGCGGTAACCCCGCAAATCCCCATTGCCCTTGCCTACGGAGTACACATGGAAGAGAAAGGGATGGAAGAGAAGATGCAGTGGAAGAAAAGACATTGTCTGCTATATATATAGCAGAGCGAAGAGAGGAGAGGAAGAAAGAAAGATGTAGAGTATCCATACATTGTGGCATCTCGGGCCTCTTCATGCCACCTGCTTTGCTCCGCACCATTGATGTCGGGAGGATACTTACATATCCATTTCGAAGGGAATACTGACTACCACCGGCCACCTCATATGCAACCATTGCACGTCAAACTCCATCGTGTCGTCCTCATGGCCGAGTCTTCACCCGGAAAGAGCTATTTCACGCCAAGCAGCACCATTACCCGTGGGACTCTCATGACGAGCAGTGCTGCCTCTCTTGAAACCACGAGCAGTCGACCTTCTTGAAGGATGAGAATCAGGCTATCGTGTTCTCCATTCTGGAGCTTGTGAAGAGTCAGGGGTTCAGCATCTTATGGGTGTTGGGGGGAAAGGGGGGGGAGGGGGCGCGGTCAGCCAGCTCTCGTCCTGTCCATGGCTTGTGAACTAAGTGGAGTCGTTCTCTTGATATCCCGAAGGAACCACTCTCGTATGATGCCATTGTGCTTAGGGACCTTTCAATCTAGACACTCGTCCGAGTTCTACTCTTCCCACTGTACATTAATGGGCGTGGTGACCCAGAATTTTTCTATTGAGCCATAGAGACCAGATCACAATGAAGGTCCCAGAATCTCCCGATCGCGCACATGGTCAAACTCTCTGCTGCGCAATCTACAGCCAGGCTTTGCTGAGTGTGTGTGAGGCATATTGCGGTTCTGCGGACATTATCCAGTAATGCTAGCTTCTGACAAGCTCCGAACAAAGGAAGTCATTGCAAAAGAGATTCGCCGCCCTCGATGTTTAGGGCTAGCATCGGAGCTGGGTTCCGCAACGCGCCGTGCCGCCGACCGGAAGTCAATCCTTCCTGAAGGGCTACTGTAATCACCGCGGGTCCAGGATCAGATTAAGCGGCGCACATGATGCAGGTGATGCAGAATGGGCGGAGTGGGCAAATGTAACATCGGTCGGAATAGCCCAACTCCCCTTGCACGACCCCGCAATTCTAGGTGATGAAGTGTGACTGGCATCCCTGTTTATTTATCCGCCTATCATGGAGTATCATGACGCTCCCTACCAGCAGACCACCACACCCCTCTGCGGACGACAGAGGGGTATAAGTTGGTCTGCATTCTTCATCAAAGCCCACCAGCTAGTCTTCGCCTCGGTCCTCTTTTCATGAATCACGCCGCTTCGTCCCGGTCGCTGAACCAATATGTATCGCATTATCACGTTCCTGGTCGGCCTGATCCCCCTCGCGCAGCTCGTCCACGCCTCGCTCGACATCGTCTCCGGTGCGACGTGGACTGCGGCGGGGACCAACAAGCATATCCAGGCCCATGGCACCGGTAGGCAGATTCGTTTCAAACTATCGCCGAGAGCCCTCGCGCGCGCAGACTAACCTATGACCGCATGTGCATCTCAGGGCTCACCGAGGTGGACGGGGTGTATTACATAATCGGCGAGAACCACACCTCCGGCTCCAGCTTCCAGTCGATCAACTGCTACTCTAGCACGGTGGGAGGCCCTAAGACTGAATGCAATGCGTGGTGTCGTATGCTGATTCTGCTCTCGAGAATCTCCGGGACTGGACGTTTGAGAACGAGCTCTTGACGTTGCAAGCTTCCGGGGATCTGGGGCCTAGCCGCGTCGTCGAACGGCCCAAGGTGATTTACAACGACGACACAAGAAAATACGTCATGTGGCTGCACATCGATGACTCGAGCTATGCGGAGGCCCGCGCAGGCGTTGCTACGAGTGATACGGTGTGCGGAGCGTATACCTATCTGTATGTTCAATGCTTTAGCTGGCGATGATTGCAGGGTTCTGAGGAGTGTCAATTCAGCAACGCGTCGCGGCCGCTGGGGTTCCAGTCACGAGATCTCGGTCTCTTCAAAGGTAGGCGCTGCTCGACTTTGGTATGATGCATCATGGATTGATATTGTGGGCATCGGGCAGATACCGATGGAACGGGCTATCTTCTTACCGAAGACGTAGGTGTTGTTGCACCATGGGCCGCATCCCCCTTCTAATGTCGCCTCCAGAGGGCCAACGGTCTGCGCATCGACCGGCTGTCGGCCGACTACTTGACCGTCGAAAGCAACGTTCATCTCTTCACGGCGGACTACGAGGCGCCCGCCGTTTATAAGACGGGAGACACGTATTTCATGTTTGCCAGTCAGCTGTCAGGTTGGTTCACTCACCCAGATGATTGGTGATGATGCTAATTGCAGACGAGAGTAGGGTGGAGTACGTATATGCCATTCCGTGACTACTCGTATTGACGCAAGCACCAGGCCCAAATGATAACAAGTACACTACGGCGACGAATCTCTCTGGGGTATGCTACACCTCGAACACTTTTTGATGAATATAGGCCACGATGCTGACACCCCCTAGCCCTGGTCGGACTGGGCGGACTTTGCACCCTCGGGCTCAGATACTTACAGCTCACAGACCAGCTATGTCGCCGATGTGGACGGCCTGGTGATGTGGGTTTACTCCTATACACCGACGCGCAGAGATCCATCGCAGGCACTAATCGTAGGGCAGGTACATGGGCGACCGGTGGGTGTCGACCGACCTGGCCTCGTCCACCTACATCTGGCTCCCGTTGACGATCAGCGGAACCACCGCCACAATTGTACGCACTCCTCTGTTCATCCTCCCCGTCGCTCGCCTCCGCTTAACTGAGTGACTCTCGATCTAGACCTCCGACGCCGCCTGGACCCCCTCCTTCAAAGACGGCACCTGGACTACCGTCTCTAACACCACCACATACGGCGCCAAATCCGCCGGCACGATCGCGGGGTCCGCCACCTCCATCACCTGCTCCGGCTGCAGCTCCGAGATCATCGGCTGGCTCGGGGGCCCCGACAATGGGACCCTGACATTCGGCGCGGTGGACTTCGCCGCCGCCGGAGAGAATACCCTGCAGATCTCGTACGGGAACGGCGACAGCACCCAGCGCTACTGCTCCGTCACCGTCAACGGCAAGACGCACATCGTCGCCTTTCTGCCCTCTGGCGGGCCGCAGACGCTGCGGACCAGTGTGCTGAATGCGGATGTTGAGCAGGGCAGTGGGAATGTGGTCACCTTCTCTGCGTACAACGGGGGATACTGTAGGGATTCCTGCTCTTAAGCGGTCGAGCTTTATGGCTAACGTTCTGGGTGCTGCTAGGTCCTGACATTGCTGGCTTGGTCATCTCATAGAGATCGGATTTGGCTGGGGTGCGTTGACTGGCTGGAATTTGTCAGTGTGGGGTGTATGCTGGAGCCCTTGTCGATTGTGCGATTGCAGCGGAATAACTGTCGTCAGTTCGGAAATGCGTGGGGTTGATCACGATTCCTTTTTCTCGGGTGCGGAGTGTATTCACAATAACACGGGAGTGATAAACAGCAGCTTCCTCACAACCTTGATTCTGTAGCTCTGATGCTACTAGCTAGGGCAGTTGCAATTATGAGAATCCTTTTGAACGATTGTCCCACAAGCACGTGATAGCCAGGATTACCGTCCAGCTTAACTAGAGAGCTTCATCTCTCGATCATCTCCTATGCGATCAGGTCCAGACCACCAAGTCGTAGTGGGATAACTTGTCCAGGTTACAACAACTACAGAGAGACTCCAAAGCTAACCTTATGTACTTTCAAAATGTGTACACATGATCAACCTCTTTGTTGTTCCATGACGCTACTGACAACTAGTCAAGTCTTCACCATATTACCATAACAGTACCCTCGCCAATATCACACATTTCTTCTGGAGTAAAGCTCATTCACAGAATATTTGCCACCGCGCCCAGTCCGCCTAGCAAAATTCCACCGGCCGCAATCTCTCGGGCGTGTATAGCGCCGCCAGTGAACAGTCCAGTCGACGGGGTGGCGGTGGCGGTGGCGGTGGAAGACACAACAGGGGTGGAAGTCGGCACAGAGGACGGAGCGCCCGCGGAGGTGGTCGACGTTGTGGTCGGGATGACAGGAACGGAGGTCGAGCTGCTGCTGCTGCTGCTGCTGCTTCGTGTCTCATCGACGGACGTGGAGGAAGAGGATGGGGCGGAGGGCGCGGAGGTCGGTTGAGCGATGGTGGTATCGGGCACGTCCGCGGCACTCGACACGGTCGGAGTCAGGGTCACGCCATACTGCTGGGCGCAGGTTTCGCGGTCCAGACCCTACACTGGTTCAGTCTCGATGGTCTTGCATGGGAAGAGGAGTGGGTGAGCGTACGGTGGGACAGCAGTAGGGGTCCTGAAGGCAGAAGGAATCACCGGGGCAGGCCCCTGCATGGGTGTCGGTTAGCTAGCTGACGGTGGAATGGAGGAGGCTGATGCTGGGCGCATACAGGTCCCGCCTGGACAGCAGGTGTCACCCCGCGAGGGGAAGTAGCAGGTGTTGCTGGTGCCACACAGGATTGAGCCTTCCGGACAGTCGGAGACGGTCGTTGTACCGGGGATGAAGGCGCCGTTGCCGCTGCTTTGGCGCTTCAGGAGATGCAGAGCCTCCAGCTGAGTGAGGCCGTGCGCGGTGGTTGTGGCCACGAGAGGGGCAAGTACAAGCAAAGAGGGACGCATGTTGACCAACAGAGGGATACACGGATTGAACGAGTGGAGGTGAAGACAACGCAGGGTGGACAAAATCAATGGGAACAGGAACAGCAGGGGGCGTAGTGCCCAGCCTTTATAGTTCTCTGCCGTTGGCCTTGTTGGTCGTGCCAGTATATATCTCCAGCACCAGGATACGAGGTCCCTGCATCTCGTTTGCTTGTTCCTGGCGGCTAATCTGCGAATACGAGTCTCCTGGCCATTGAGGGTTGTGGCCAAGGAAGTCGGTTTGGCGAGTCCTGTCGATCCCCTCGTGCCAAGACCGGGGTGACTGGGTTGGCAGTCGTCGCAGAGTACGAGAAGCACAGCTGTTTGGCGGAGAGAAGACTGGTTACGTTAAGCAGCGTTTTGACGCCTGTCTTGGGCCGATGATCTCAATCAAGCATCGACGTGAAAGGGTGAATGGCTGTCTCATGAGGGGGGAGTTAGAGTTATCGGTAGCGGCGCATTGGCCCATTTTAGCGGCCTATCAGACTAGAAAGCCGGTAGTGCAATCCTTAGCCAGGGTCTCTAGTGCACCTCTGTCGTATGTAGGATCATTTGCCGCCTCGCTTCCTCGCTTTGGTCCCGAACTATTGAGCGACTATCCCACTGCCGTGCCAGCTATCGATGACAGCAGTTGCCTGCACTACTCAACCCTATGCATTAACCGAACTATCCTAAGTAGTGAACACATTCAAGATCCCCTGAAATATCCTGGTTGGCGGTGGAATGCGTGTATGATGCCAGCCACGCCAAGGATTGTGGAAATAAGGCCAGCCTCTCAACACGAGCCGGGGATGCAGCCCCAGGCCACGATTGAGAACTTTAGTGCCAGTCCTTCTGCACCCCGCATTCTCTACCGCTAGCCAGGCAGAAGACCCACACTACTCAAGGCAAATTCACCTGTAATAACACTACTCTGCATTTACTCCCCGTGACAGATCATGGATAGGGCAAGAGGCTCGGCTCGGATGAACTTCGCCCGCATGCCCGCCCCCACCAATGGCATCATAGCTTACTCACCCATTCACCATCCACCCATCAATTATTCCATCAATTAATCATTCATCACTGAAGTAATAGCAACATTAAACCGCAGTATCATCTCATCCACACAACACAGTCCATCATGACCATCACTAAAGAACTCTCCTCCTGGCTCGCTCCCTCCACCGTAGAGGTGTCCACCCCGCCGCAACTCGGCCACCCCGCCCCCTCATCGCCCGAGCTCCCCCTGCCCAACCCCAACCGTCAACCCACGATCATCCTCTTTCTCCGCCACTGCGGATGTCCAGGTTCGTCTACCTCCTCCCCTTCCTTCCGACCACGTTGACGAGATCACCAGTGGCGGAATCCGATTTCCGCACCCTCCGCCTAGCAGCCGCCCACCACCAGCAGCTCGACTTCGTCGCGGTCTCGCATAGTGATGCACCCTCCACGGCGCGGTGGCTGGAGGCGGTGGGTGGGGCGGCAGAGCCTGCGTCGGGGTCTCAATCCAATCCGGTGCGGGTGATCGTCGATGTCGAGCGGCGACTGTATGCGCGCTGGGGTTCGGGGGTGGCCTCATGGAGTCACGTGATGAACCCGAGCGCGCTGATGAATATCGTCAAGTTGGGCCGCGAGAAGGGGATCTGGAACCGGCCGACGGAGAGCGGCAGTCGGTGGCAGGAAGGGGGGTTTTGGGCCGTGGATGGCGAGGGGATCGTGCGCTGGGGCCGGCCGGCCAGGCGGGCGGATGATTTCATGGATGTTGAGGCGGCGATCCAGGCTGTTAGCTAGATGGTTCGATCGGATATTGGGTTGGTGTGGTTATCCTAGTCTAGTTGTCTAGCTGAATGGTTCGTACGTGGAATGGAGGTGCGTGGCTGGAGCTGATGTTACAGTACTTCATTGGTCTAATTTGGGTGTTTGTGCTCATCTGTGCACAGCGACAACGGGATACACCTCAAAAACAGCCCGCAATTCCGGTGGGAACTGCCGGCGTAGCCCTACGCTGGCCCGGTTGAGCAGTGCCCACAGTCGTTGGTCATCGGCTGCATCGCTCAGGGGTCGCGTGAATCGGTCCCGAGTAAAGTCCCACGAAATGCGCACGCCAGTGGTACGTTCGAGTTCCCACCAGTCCTGAAGCGTATCCTCCATCGGCTGTTCCAGATCCGGCGGTACGTCTTCGATCACGTAGACCGTTTGGATGTGCCGGAAATGCCGGAAAATGTCGTGGAATAGGCCGGCGCAGTTGACGAACAGCTCTCTGGCCAGCGCGATCTGTCGGACGGCCGGCGGTATGGTGGTGACGGATTGTCCCTCCAGCTCCTCCAGTCGCTCGAACGGCTCGAGGATGAAATGAAGGTAATCCTCGGATGCGCCTGAGGAGATGTACAGCGCATCGTGCATGGGGTCAAACACCCGTGCTGCCGTCAAGGATTGCTGCGCTGGATCGACTGTAATCGTTGCTCCTTGGCGCTGGAGCCATCTCAAGGCAATGGCCCGCGCCTCCCGATTCACAAAGACCTGTGGGAGGTCCATTTGTACGTTCTGCAAGAGCGTGTGGCAGAACTCGAGCTTAGGCTGCCCAGCCCCGGTGGTTGGGTCGCAGGGGCTCAACTGCCAACACCCCTTTTTCCACCGGTAGATAGGACGGCCAAATTTCTGCGGAAGACTGTCCTCCCAGATTTGTATTCGCAGTTCTGCTGGGAGATAGGAGAATTTGTAGAAGCCCATGATGTGGACTCGGGGGCATCGTATCTGGACGATAAATGATAGACAAGGAAGGAAGTCATATACCCAGGAATCTCAGCCTGGCTGGGCACCAGCAACAGATCATACTAGTACCGATGTCGCTTAGCTAGTGGGCCCGGGATGTGTCGATACGAGACGCTTCTATTACCGCATCAAATAGGCGTAAAGCACAACTACAACTTCGCCTGCGCCCTCCGCCGCAGACTGTCCTGGACCAACTGCACAGCCTCCGCCGCACAGCCAAACGAAGCCTGATATCCAAACCCGCCATGCCCATAATTATGCACCACCGCCACCCCTCCTATTGACTCCTGCTCCACCCGTGGTCCATCTTTCCGTGTAGGGCGCAACCCCACCCCATGCCGAATAATGTCCAGCCCCTCAATGCCCTGGCCTTTAGCCACGAGCTCGGGACACGCCGCAATCGCGCGCCGCATAATCCGTACCGCGAGATTCGGATCCGGCAGCGGATCCCACTGGTTCTGCTGGTAGCAGCCCCCCAGAATCGTTCCGCCCCCGGCGGCGCGCGTCATCATGTAGCACAGTTCCTCTTCCCCGTCATCTGTTCCGGACAGGGCGGCCATCTTCCCGGGCGTGTTGCGGACGACGACGATCTGTCCGCGGCCCGGGTGGAGCGTCTCATCGCGCACGCCCCCGAGGGTCTTCGAGGAAAGACCGGTGCAGTTTACCACGATGTCTGCTTGGCGTCCGGAGTGGTGGGCCTGTGCTGCGTCGGTGATGTGCTTGAAGACGGCGCGCTTGAATATGGTTCCGTTTTTGCGACACTGGCCCACGAGCCACGGGAGGTAAATTGCGGTGTTGACGCAGACGGAAGTGAAGGTCTGGGCGCTGTCAATGCCAGGAGGAAGCTGGTCTTTAGGCATGGATCGGAACTGTGCTGTGGCTTAGTGGACTGGTGTAGAAGAAAGGGGGGATGGGGGGTCAAATACACACGTTGGGGACGACGTCGCGGTACCACGGCTCTGCGTTCATGAGGGCAGCGAAGTTCTTGCCGGTCGCTGTCTCTTGATCTTTGATGCGGTTGTAGATTACATTGTCTGGGGATTATACTTAGGTCTGGACCGACACTGGCGGGCGGACAGGGTGGGTGAAGATACCTTGAAAGTGAATGCCGGCTTCTGGGTACTTCTCCGTTATCTCCCGCAGCGGTTGCCAGGTTTCTCGTTCCCATCTGGCTTGGTTGCTACCAGCTGCGCCCATTCTATGATGTGTCAGTAGTGTAGTAAAACCACGAGAGGGGGATTCGTACGGAGAGTAGTTGGCACCGGCCCAGGGAGACGCGTATTCAATGTCATAGTCCCCGGGCATGTGTTTGGCGGCCACCGTGATGGAGTTGGTCGGGTCTTGCGATAGCAGAAAGGCGGTGGTGAGTCCGGAGACGCCGGCTCTAAGATGGCATCATCAGCATAAGGCTTCCAGTAGGGCCCGAGAAGCGCACCCAACAATGACGATAGTGTTTGTTGCCATGCTTTTCGTTCCTGGGTGGATGGATGGATGATTCGCGTGTGTTGACGAGACCGATTACGGCGGGATGGATGGAGATAAGCAGCGTGGGTGGAGATCGACGGCAGGCACGTGACCAGGCTGCAGTCTGATAGAACACGTGACCTTATCGCCCCGCGATCCTTCTCCCGGCCTACGTACAGTACAAGTACAGTACTTCAGTCAATGAGATGGACAAGTTAAATACTCGAGTAGCTTCATCTCCTCGCTGCCTTGGTGTGAAAAAGTCTCTCCCGCCAACACCCGTCATCCGAAACATCTGCCATGACCACAACACAGAGTCCTACCCAGTGATCTACGGGAGAGCATCATCCACCCCCGTTGTCCCCATCGTCGTCGCCGTCGTCCCCATTCCCGTCCCCATTCCCAGGACCATGAAGGATATCCGCCGCGATCTTTTCCGCCAACATATCTAACCACTTATCAGCTTTGATCCACAACAATTTTATACCTTCAATTCACCCCTTGCACAGTTGAAAGGCAACCAGTGGTGTAACGAAAGAAACAAAACTCACAACAAGTGGCCTGCGGATGCCCCGGCGGCAAGATAGCGAACGCACTCGCATCCACGACCCGCAACCCGGTCACCCCAAACACGCGGGCCCGATGATCCACCACCGCCATGCTGTCGTTCCGGGTCCCCATCTTGCACGTGCACGCCGCATGGTAGATGGTCATGACCGTCTGCCGGATGACCGCCAGGATCTCCGCGTCCGTCTGCACTTTCGGCCCCGGGAAGTACTCCTCCCCGATCACGATGGGCGCCATCGCCGCGCTGTGCCACGCCTCCCGCATCCGCCGGTACATGGCCACCACCGTCTGCGCGTCCGCCTCGGTCGACAGCCAGTTCGGCTGCACGATCGGTAGGATGTCCGTGTCGTTCGACGCGAGCGTCACCGTCCCGCGCGAGCTGGGCGCCACCAGCGACCCGATCATCGACGCGTACATGAATCCGTCTTTCGGCTGGTCGAACAGCGGGTTCGCCAGATCGCCGAGGAAGATGTGGAAGGAGATGTACTGTCCTCTCGAGCGCGTAGAGGGGAGAGAAAGAGTTAGTTGGTGATGGAAGAGAGCTGAGGGAACGGGGCTAGGGGTGATGATCGGGAGACGCACCTCTGCTTCCGGCCAGCTGGGTGGAAACCATGACAGGTTGCGCAATGTATCAGCGGAGAAGCGCTGGCGCAGGGGATCTGGGATCTTCTCCCAGGCCAGGTAATCGGCCGATGGGTTGGTAAAGAGACCCCGACGCACGGAGAAATACAGGGCGAGTTGCTCGGCCGCAAAGGCGTAGTTGTTGGCAATGTTTGTGCCGGTGATGAGTCGAACCCGGTATGACGGACCGAATAGCAGGTGATCCCACATGTTCTGGCCGACTCCGGGGAGATCGACGAGCTGCGGGATGTTGTATTGACTCAGGGCTTCCGAGGGCCCGATGCCGGAGACCATCAGCAACTGAGGGCTCTGGAAGACCCCGGCCGAGACGATCACCTCCCGATTGGCGTGCAGGGTGTACCTTGAAGTCCCGGTGCGCACTTCCACCCCGGTCGCCTTTCTGTCGGGGTCAAACAGTATCCGCTTCCCCATGGTGGTTTTGTATAGAGTGAGGGTCGCCAGACGGTCACTGTTCGCTGCTGCGCTCATGAATGCCGCTTCCGAACTGCTCCGTATTCGGTCTGATGGGCGGACGGTGAAGGGGCACCATTGCGCACCTAGTAAATGCCCACTGCTGAAGTCTTGTGTCTGGTTGATGCCAATTGCTTGCATTCCGCCAACCATCCAGCTGGAGAATGGGATACTGTCGATCGGGTAGGATACTTGGAGAGGCTCCCCGGCCGGAGAGTATGCGGCCGGGTTGTATTGCACGGAGGCGTTGGGGGGTCGAAGCTCGTTCTGAGGAGGGTAGAAGGTGGCCGTTCGTTGGTAAAAAGGGAGGACCTGATCGAACGTGTAGCTCTGATCCTCGACGAGGTCGGCCCACCGTTGCATGGAGCCGTTATCAAGTCTGCGATCGGTTAGCTTTACATGGCTTTATGGTATCAATACTCTCTGACTCGGACCTCTGGTATATCATCACGTTGCACACCGAGCTAGACGGAGTCAGTGCCATGGAATCATACTTTCAACAGACAGTCGGGTGAAAGAGTGCCTTCTTACCAACCCCCAAACGTCTTGTGTCGGCCATAATGTACCTGGCGGTAGTTCGCGCCCGGGACGGGGGCTGTGATGAAGTTCCAGTCAATTGGAGTGGTCGCAGTCGGACTCGATCCCAGGCCGACAATCACTGCCCCTGGAATCTTCGCCAAAGGCCAAACCGCCTCATAGAAGTCGCCGGCTTCGACGAGAGCCACGCTCAGCTTCTGCTCCGCGAGTCGTGCTGCCAGCGTGAAGCCGGACGTCCCGGCGCCAACAACGACATAGTCAAAGCTAGCATCGACCCCAAAGACCCCCTCTGTCAGATTATGTGGTTTGGTTTCCGCTCCGTAGTACCCTGCAACGGCGAGCAGTAGAATGGTTAGGTGGTCTCTGAGCGAGAGCATGACGACGATGCGGGAGGTCAGGTCTGTGGGCCTCGGTGAAGGATCCGCGGGGTTGGATATTGACACTCACGCTTTGCACGTTGCCTAGTAGGAGAAAATGTGATATATGGTACGTCGTGTGGAGATATCCGACATCTGGAGACACCATGGCAACTGTGCCCGGCTAATTCTTCGAGGCCTGAATGGCATATGATACACCCGGGGCATTCAAGGCTGTGTCACCTCTATCGCACTGGTGGGACAACTGCACATGCTTGATCAGTCTGAAGCATCATAGTTCTAATGGCAAACTGAAGAATCATGCCTTTCCTGGCGACACTCCCTGTGACCCAATAGATGCTTCTTGATGGTCTGAAGCTCTTCTCTCGTCCAATGTAACATCCACGTGATGGTAAACCCATTACTGAGACGATATAACAATCCGAACTGCACCTCCTATCCTTGTATCTGTGTCAAGATATCATGAGCAGAAGTCAGTATGTGAATTGTCTGTTTACTGAGTGTACGAGTATAACATCTTCGGTAAGCCCGTCAAAGCGCACAACTCATTCTCGCCAGAATATTCCCCCATGCTCCCCAATTCGCGTTTCTTCTAGCTGCAGACCTCTAAAAATTCTAATCCACCGCCTGAACAGCCACCTTCAACACATTCTCCTGACCAAGGGTATTCTGAGTAAAGCGAGCATTGAACTTCAGAATTCGCTTGATCTTGTTGAAGCTCGTCACATCCAACGGCAGCGGTTCAGCGCTGATGTACCAGGCCACACCCTCGGTACACGGAGGCGTCGTGAGGGAGCTGATGTATCGGTAGATATCGTGGGTCTCGAGATGTGCGGTCAAGTATTTGAAGTCGAGATATCCGGTCTCCGTGGATGTTCCAGGGCTGTCGATGTCATCGAGGTGGTTGAAGATGGAATCGAACGGGTGAGCGGCTTCGCTGGTGGGGGAGAGCTGGAAGAGGAAGGCTACCACTGCTATCTTGGTTTCTAGTGATGTGAGGCCTGGTTCGAAGATAGTCCATGTTGGGGATTTGGGTTGGGCTGTAGCTTACCATAGTCCTTGAAGACGAAGTGCACCTCCAGGGGAAAGTATTCTTGGTCCACGCGATGCTCGCTCGGGGTGTGGAAGTGAAACTGGGCCAGCTGGTACTGGTGGTCCTCGTTAACAGTGAGACCGCCCTGCGCCAGTGCTACCTCTAGACCCGAGCCCAGGTTCGAAAGCCTGGCTTCATCGGCGGCGGGGATATCGAATATGAGGCTGCTAGATGTGACATAGTCAATCTCCTCGCTGAGGACGTCGATTGGGGATTGATGCTTTCCTTGAGAGCAGGCAGCGTTAGTCTTGTTTATATGGTGCCATTTGAACGGTCCCCCCAGCTCGGTGTAATTAAAGAGGTTGTTGGCGGCTAGATCACCGGCAGCGCGAGGGTATAGGAAGGTGTCGCTGAAGCAGGAAGTGTAGGCTGTGATCGCCACGAGGAGAAGGGTAAGATGCTTCATGGTGGATGCTTTGTGGACGAACGTGTAAGTGTGGCATGTTCCAGGCCGTGTGAAATCAAAGCTCTTATGCCTTATGTTCGGAAGATGATTTGGAAGAACTATACTTCCGGGTCTTTGTGTGAATATATATAGCCCTTCATCAAATTTTCGGTATTCTGATCTCTTGGGTCACTGTAGATGAGTGAATGTAAGTCCTGGGGCGATGTGGAACTGCGGAATGGTGACATTCTTCATCAGAATATTCACACAAGGGGGGTGAATTTCAAGGAACTTTGTTGTCTACAAAGTAGCCTCAGCCGGTTCCAGTTTTTATGATGTTCCTCTCAAATCAATCTAATCATGAGCTACATTGCTTGCGTACCGGGACCAGCGTCAAAGCCCAGTGAGAAATCTGCCGAAGACCAGACAGAGCATTGTAGTCACCTTCAGATCAAATCGTTCTCAAGCCGTCAGAGATTATGTGTCTATAAATCGAACCAAGCAAGTTAGTCGGAGGTTCCAGCCAGCAAGACTCCAATCGCTCCACGGATTTCAACCACCGAAGAATTTACAAGTGCACTCAAATGACCATGTGCTCAATCATCCAACGTCAGATCTACGAAGTCCGCCTCCTCCGCCGTCCTCTTCATCCCTGCCAGCGATGCAGGGGTAAATTCAGATCTCGATGCCACAGGCTGCTCAGACGGAACATCCAGCGCGCGCATGCGCACGATATCCTCGTAGTAATCTGAAAGCAGGATTGCGAGACGCACCGGATCAAAGTTCTGGATCTGCTTACTGGCCTCGAGTTTCCTCTGCTGCCAGGCGAGCTGGGAATCCCTCACCTGGGCAAAGGTCTTGATCACCACCAACCTGGGATTGGTAGCGCGAGAATGGTCCGTCTCGTTAGTGCAGTCCACGCGCGCCTGGTCAAGCTTCTGATGGATATGCGCGCGACGCCTTTTGTTCATGGGTTGTACCCATACTCGACTGGCGGGGTCGCGGAGAAATCTGTTGATATCGTAGCAGTCGCCGCAACAGGATTGTACCGTGGGGTGGACGAGATTGCTGGTGGCCGGGCTGGGCTTCAGGCCGACGTAGTTGCTGATGTAGGCGCGTAGGATCGCCGCAAGCGTCTGGCTGAAGCCTGCAACAGATGGGTGAGCAGGATTCTGTTGGTAAAATAGCAGTAAGGAGCGGAGAAAGGGGAGCCAGAGGTAGCGGAATGTGGATGAGCTTATGCTGGGGGCTCCGGTGACGACCCTGTGCCAGAAGGTCTAGATCAGATCATTGTCAAGGCTGTGACGAACCAGTGACTCGACAAATGTCACTGTCTCTTCCGGTGTGAGCGGGCCAGTCTTTTGGTCTAGTTCCACAAGCCTGTTATTCTGGAGATCTCGGAGTCGTCGATAGTAAGCTAGCGTATCAGATGGGTCGACTGTTTTGGGCTGCTTTGGCTTTTCATTAACGTTAAAGGTGGAGACATGCAGTCGACAGAGCAGCCCGCAGGCAATCTCTCTGTAATGTTCGAATCCTTCTTCCTTGGGAAACGTGCCGACTTTCAATTGCTGATCGAGCTGGGAGAGGAAGCCGAGGGCAAAGAATGGGCCCCTATCGGTGGCCTTGACTGAGGGAGCAATGCTTGTGCCAAGTCAGCACCAAGCTAAGGAGCGAGAAAAGAAGACTTACCGCGTCAAGAGGTAGGGAAAATCATAATACATCATGGCCATGCCCACTACAGCATGACCATCTTGCTGATTCAGCTCCTGCCGCGGCATCATTTCTAGCATTTGATCGTGAACACTGTGCACCCAGCTCCGAACTTCGTCGGACATGAACTGAGTCCGGGGAACCAAGCGTGCTGTTGCTGTATGTCTTTGCTTGAAGTCTGGGAAGGCGAGGACCGCAGAACGCAACCTATAATTGTTAGACGAGACCGACCGGAAGCAGAATCAAGCCCTACCCGTCTTGCACTTTAGCGAAGGAACTTCCTTCACAGGCGAATTGCTCTTGAGCCCAAGCGAAGAAGTCCATTGACAGCTTCCCCTTGTGGCACCGGGCGGCTTCTTTGAAGAACGCAGAATCCTGGGTTCCGAAGGCGGCCTTGAGGATCTTAAGCATTGTCTCGTCGGCGAAGATTCGATCGCTGGGGTTGGACGGCCTTGGATTCTCTTCGCTCTTTCTCCACATCTTAAACACGAGCTCTTTGAGCGTCTTGGCCCACAGCGGGTCAGCATCCGGGGTTAACACAAGTTTAGCATAGTACTTGATAATTGACTCGATGTTATCCTCATCCTTCGCATACAACATGCCGCGGCCACTGTTCAGCTTCTCCTGCAGACCACCCAGAAGAAACGACGCGGTCGAACGTCGAGCTACCACTGCCACTGCCTATTGCAAAGATCAGCACAGCACGTCGTGTCTATGCAGTGAGAGAAGGTTTAACCGTCACTCGATACCAATGCGTCGCTTCCGGGCCCTATTCGAGATACTATCAGCGACGCCAATGATGGAGAGATGAGAGGAACCCAGTCAGCGTACCCAGCTTCCTTGGTAGCCTTGGTAGGGTTCTTTCGGGGAAACATCTTCGAAACAATCTGCCTGGAGAATACTTTCGGTATCTAGCGTCCTTCCCCGAAGCACCTGATCGCCATCGAGGTCGACCAGCGATTTGACCTCATAGGTGGTGCTCGTAACATCCTCCGGGGGATGAAAGTCTTCTCATCTCATCCTCCGTGTCGGGGTCTGGAAGGTTTGATGCCATCTCTGCCACAAGTGATCGCCTTCTGCCTTGCGCGAGTATTCCAAGGTCCTAGAGATAGAATTGGACAAGTTCTCGTGGAAGAAGACGGAGGGACGCGGGTCACGTGACCGTGTCGAGCATTCACTTATCCTTGTCTACCCAAGTGTAGGGGGAATGAATCAACAAATAGGTGAGATGGAATTATGATCGGACAGCCAAGCATGAGTGAAGAAGAGCAACGATGCAGGACAGAGAACGTAGGGAGTACAATGTACATCGGTTATCAATCTCTCCCACCATCTTCCTTTACCGCCTATTTTCGTTGGATGACTGGGTGAATGTGAACAGACCATTGGGGGGTAGGATTGTGTTAAATTCGTCACCGCAGTATAATATTTTGGAACAGGAAGAAATAAGCACATACGACCACAGGGTGTGGAAAACAGGGCTTCCCGTCCGCTCAGCCGTACTTAAGCCACACGCCGGGAGGTTAGTAGTTGGGTGGGTGACCACCAGCGAATCCCTTCTGTTGTATGTTTTTTGGGCCATTCCAATGTTGTCTTCTTCTTGCCTCAGGGAAGGGACGCAGGAGGAACCTCCTTTTTCCTCCCTCCCCAAAGATTGCCTGCAGTGTGACTAGTGTCTATCGCGTATCAAGAATACTGTATGATGATTATCATCAACATGGTCTGCCTAACCTTAGCTGTGAAATAACCCTCCCCAAGAAAGCAAGCCGGAATCTTCCCTGGTTCAGCTTCCTGTTACACGGCCCGGATCGCGTTCTGCTGGCATATGACAGTGGAACGGTGATGTTGCCCGGATGTATTTCCGCATCTTACGTGCGCTAATCAAGTTAAACATCTGAATCCATATTTCTGCATTGAGATATCCGACAATTCTGGAAGTCAGGGATAATTGTACAGCACCGACAACTTCGATATGGCGGTAGTCACCAACACCACTTGTCTGCTGTATCCACACATCACGCAACAACCCCTTCATCATCCGATCCCAGACTCGCCGGACGTGCTTTCGCCCTCCGCTCATCCCGCCGAACAAGCAGCTGTATTACCACCACACTAATGATGGCCGCTATCACCAGCCCAAACGTGGCAGGGAAGCCGTACCCTAGCCAACACAACACGATTAGATCTAGGACAAACCCAAGAAGAAGATTGAGAAACACTCACGAAACGACGGGGCCATGGTCTGCGGAAATATGACGATCGGCAGCCAGGCAGCGACCGCGTACTGGAAGCCATTCATACTGCTGATCACCACCGCGCGCTGCTCGTTGTTGTCCGCGCAGACTTCGTTGGCCCATGAGTAGCTGGACCGTCAGTATCCGGTGGAAGGTGCGAGCTTGTCGGACAACTTACAACACCGCGGTCATGAGCTGCATCCCGATGGTCAGGAAGGCGAATTCCTTCAGTGCGAGGCTGTGGGGCCAGACGGCCAGGATACCGTTGGGGATGAGGCCCCATATCTGTTGTTCATATTCGGTTCTCATCAGCACCGTGCACAGGTTAACTCACCAGATGGGAAAGGCAGTCCACTCACCAGCGGGATAAGCACCCAAGCAAACCGGCTTCCGGTATAATCGGACAGAAACCCCCACAGCACCACACACGCTGCGGAAATCAACGATGTCCCCGTTGGAATGAGGTTGCGATCAGCCACCGAGAAGTTCTCAGACTTGAGCCAGATGGCGAAGTAGCCGTTGCCGCCGCAGGATGAGCCGTACAGCTGTGACATGTTAGCATAAATACACCATCTCATCAGCTAGCGAGGATAAGAGCCGAGTACACACCACATAACCAATGACAAAGGCATACCACTTCCACGAATTCAACACCCCCGTGAACGTCTTCCAGGTAATCTTCACCGGCGGCGCCACGCCCGCTCTGCTGACGCGCGCTTTGGCAAGCTCGCGCTCCTCCTCCGCCAGAAACCACACCCGGGTGGTATACGGTGTGTCGGGAAGGAACAGAAATGTCGCCAGACCCACAGGAACGGTCATGCACCCACAGACAATGTACAACCAGCGCCAACCGTCAATCCCCCTCGCCCCATTGAGGTTCTTATACACGGCCGCCTGAAGGTACCCCCCGAACGCGGTGCCGAGGGGCGCGGTCATGTGGAATAGCGCCACTCGTTTCGCGAGCTCGGTCTTGGTATACCAGCTACCCAGCAGGTACAAGAGGGACGGGAAGAAGGAACTCTCGAAGAGACCGATCAGGAACCGGAACACATATAACTGAGGAACGGTCCGGACCCCTGCCTGGGCGAAGGTGAATGCGCCCCAAGCGACTTCCATCCCAGCGAGCCATAGACTCGGGCGCACGCGCTGGATGATGAGCGTACTGGGGATCTGCATCACGGCATACGCGATCGTGTACAGGGTCCCGGCGTAGGTATACTGGTTGCCATACATGCCGAGTTCCTCCTGCATCCCCGAGACGTAGGCGTTTGCCAGGTTTCCCTGGTCGAGGTATTTCATGAAGAACCCCAGGCATCCGATGCTGAGGATGGCTGCGTCCAGTTTGAGCAGCAGGCGTCGCTCCTCGGGGGTTTTCAGGTGCGTATCCGTGTCCCAGATGAAGGAGCGGAACGTGCGGCGCGGTGGTGGGCTGGAGTCCACAATCTGATTTATCTTGGTGTCAGGCTGCTTTGTGGCACTCGAGGTTGAACCGTGGTCCGCCATGTTTCTGTCTGGGTATTTTGGCCGTGCTCCTGGTGTTGGGAGGTGACGATGTTGCGGGGTTATAGATATTTATCAGTGGCGGCTCAGGCCAAGCCTTGGTGCATCACGACATGTTGGCGTGATCTTTGCGCGATAAGGCTCATTGATTAACACCAGCACCACCCAACCACCCAGCTTCGACGTGCATTAGGGGTATTAATCTCGTGGAGATACGGGATGAAACCGCGGGGAGCTCACTTGTTAATTCAATTACAGGTCAGGGTTAATGTGAAGACCCCGAAACTAGGGCTGGTTCGGGAAACACCCCCGACCACAGCCCTATAAACCTGGTATTATACCCCTTGCTTTCTACTTCCCCTCCTCATGCTCATCACTTCTGCTATCTCATGGCCATGTTCTAGGTAATCCTTCACTCGAAAATCGCACGAAAGACGGGTAAGCGACTGGGTCAGAGCGTCTGTCCCCAACGAGCCACCACTAGGGGCTGCGCATGATACCCCGTATTCATATGATTTGATTCCACTTTCTTGTACCCGAAGAGAAGGGCTTTAGTCATACTTTGAACATGAGCTCAACGAAGATACGAGAAGATCGCTCGGTACACGGGTATATGAGTATATATTCACTTTGATGTTCATCAACTCGAGCGGTCAAGTCTCCGCATCGCTCGACCGCGCAATCAAGGCAACCATGTCCATTCCCACCGCGTGTGCGCTGCCCTGGAAATGAAGCTTCAGCCGCGCAGTCAGGATTTTCTTGATGACCTCATAGTTCGAATGCTGTCGATGTGTGATCCCGGCCAAACATTCCGCAGCCACCGAACATCGGGTTGGCAAGTCCTCTTCGGGGAATGCATAATGTGCACGAACACGCTTTAGGGAGACGTGCCCGAACCCCTGTTCTGTCAACAGTTGCGTCGCTTCCTGCAGAATCTGGCCTTGGTGGCGGATTCGAGGTGAGCGCGCGGCCGCGTTCAGGTGCATCACCGCCTCATTTCCAGGAGCTCCTTGGAGGATGACAAGTTGTGAACCCTTCCGACGTGCCACATGGACCATCTTCTTGATGGCCTGATTGAGGCTCGGAAGCTTCTCGAGTGTCCAGGGGGCAAAGATGACATCCAACGAGTCAGGTGCATATGGGAGGCTATCGGTGATGTCTGGCAGGGCCTGTAATTCCCCACAGCGTGCATAGTGACTCCAATTGTCTTGCCCGAGGACAACCATCTTTTTGCCATCTACTGCGACCTGTTTGCAGAGGCTCTTGAGATCCTCGCTAACGAAGCGATCGGTGAAGATATCAAGATGGTCGACATAGTCTGAAGGCGTTTCAACAATTGGAACTGGATACGGGCCCAGCAAAGGCTGCGGCTCAGCTTTCCTTGCGAGCAGGAAGTGCTGAACCTCAAGGCTCGTGTAGTCCTTGTGGCCAGCCGGACAAAAAAGGTGGTCAACGGGCTCCATGTCGAGGACTAAACCGGCCGCTTGCAGCAGGCGAGCCCATCCATCCTCTGAATGGAATACCTCGTCGGTGTAGTTTCCCATCCAGTGCTTCCCGAGCATCCTAACACAATTCCAGGTGGGATCGTAGGTGCATTTGTCCGGCAACAGTCCGGTGCTGGGCGTCACCGCGAGGGCCAAGCAGCCCCCCACGTTGAGCCACTCGGCAAATTTGAAGATCATCGAGTACAGCTCTCCCGGAGTGAGCTGGAACAGCGACAGAATCGCAAACACACCATCAACGGACTGGCAAGGGTGGAAGGTGTTCATGTTGGCCACTTCAAACTGACCTCAGACTTGCGACGTGGCAATCTTTACCATTCCTGGGGAGATGTCGATTCCATGCACTTCATGGCTTGCAGTTGCGAGGATCTCCGCGACGGGCTTGCCGGTGCCGCATCCAACATCTAGCACCCGACTGTTGGGGGGTAAGTTCTTGCTGGCCTGGTTGATGAAGGCACAAAGCGGCGCATTGTCTGCAAAGGCAGCTTCATAGCTCGCTCCTACTTCGTCAAAAAGTGAGCTCGCTGAGATTGTCATGCTGGAATATTACAAGCAATAGCGAGGCTAGGTTTGCGGTTCATGACAAGAGGAGGTAGAAAGGGATCTTGGAGATTTTCTTTTAAGTATCTCGAGTCGGACTTTAAGGTTCCTGACGTGTCTTTGGTATTCCTTGTTTGTTGTCCCATGCAGGGTGCTTGGGACGAATCCTACGCTGCCCTGCATGCATCACACGTCATACTCCAGGGTGCGACGCCCTCACCGCATTTTGTGCAGGCCTTGGTGCCTATGAACATATCTTGGAACTGAGGAATGATTGTCAAGCCAGATCATCATGCGCCTCCTACAAACCCCCAAGCTCGCAACTTAGTGTACGAAAGATCAATAGCTGACGAGAAAAGGTTACATGTACCAGCCGAGGTCAATGCAGATAAATGGCCTTGCATCTTTGTTGGATTGATTATCACTCCAGCTAGGCCTAAGATTCTCTGGAGAATAATCTCCGCTCAGAATAACGTGGAGAATATTTGAGCATCATGCCGATAATCCGACAGCCGGTTTTTTACATCCTGGAGGCGGCAATGAGCAGTCGAGACGCTTTTATTCATCACATACTGGGAGGAATGGACGATGGTGGAATTCCTTGGATAAAACTACCTGCGCTGGTGATTCCGTATCTTTATCTTATTTAACATAACTTTACGCGTATAGAAAGCCTACGCATTCCGAAAGACCTGTCCATAGTCAGGGATTCCCCAAGCCACCAAGTCCTGATGGCTCGGAGCGCCGCGCATTACCTCATTTTTGAGCCAGTGCTGCAGGATTGGGCTATCCTCCTCGACATGATAGCTCCGGGTCTGGCCCGAGAGCGTTTCCCCGGGCATACAGAACGCCCCCTGACACGGGGCGGGGATGAACCGCACCTCCGTGTAGAGGACGACGACGGGCCCAATCTGAATGAAGCCATGGAAGGGCCCCGCCATGGGATGCTGGGCCCGCAACTGGGCGAATTTTCCGCACAGCGTGCTGACCAACCCACCGACTTCCTCCCGAGTGGGATCGCGGAGCGCCCACTCCCATCTCACCCGCACGATCAAGCTGCGTGGTCCGATCTGAAGGATTTGGGCGGCGGCGGGAATGGCAATATATGGCGACTCGGCTTCGAGGAGGGCCCGCGTGGTGTCGCGGATCCCTTGTACGCGATCCACTCGATGGCGCCTCCCTCGGACATGACGGCCGTCGAGTCGGAATCTGCAATGCTGGCCATGATTGCTGGTACAGTGAATCTATGGTGGAAAAGCACTGGGGGTCTTCTTTAGTGTCAGGGTTGAGGGACCAACATGGCTCTGGATGGCTAACTTGGATGGATGCGCAGGTTATGGTCTATTTATAGATCCCATGTTGGATGCCATAGAGGCATGTTTTAGGGACGAAGTGAACAAAGATGCTCATCAAGTTTATCCTTTCACACGGACCAACACTTGGGACATTGCGACTTGCTGGGATGTTCCATCATCTTGCTTAGGAATGTCTTTGTTTTACTATTGTGGGACGGTACTGAAAGAATTCTGCCCAAACTTCCATAACCGCAAAATAAAGCGAGCTTACAGTCATGGCACCGTCTGCGCAGCACGATTGGCAGCCTCAATTCGAGTTGGCCTACCTCAATTCTGTCTCTGTTGATGTACCTATCCATACCCCCGATGTGATGATCAACTAGGCGGCTTTTAGGCGATGCGTGCGACGACCATTGTTACAGACTTCAACACCTGAAACCGCGTTGGAACAAATTTATGGAGCTGGCTGATCAGCCTCACAGCCCTCCGGCTCTCCCGTACCTCTCACCCAAGGTTTCTGTCAACGTACTGGAGGGCAGTTCATCACGCGGGTAAATTTGCCTGCTGCGAGGTGGGAGGCGTTCGCCAAGGAGTTGTCTTGGTTGTGGCGGCGGACAGTGGATTGGATCCCCGGATTGTCAATTTATTTAGATCAATATGACAGTTTGACATCGTGGGTGACTTCTGTGGGAGTGAGAAGATCATGCGACATGATATTCGGGATGCGATGAGCGCAGGTTGAGCAACCATCAATTGCATCCCAAGTCATGCTGTATGTCATTTTAAGTTGTAGGGAAATAAGGGACTGGGTCTCGTCTCGGGGTATTTCCCCACTTATGCTGCGTAAGCTGCATAGCATAAACTATTCTCAGCCAGCATCCGTGGATATTTCCTCCTCGGGCGGCCAACTGCTGGTTCCCTGGTTCAATGCCCGCACATGATGCAACTTCGACTCGGTCGCATCTCGAGTGTGAAAATCTTGTCATTGCCCGGGATCGAAGTTGGAATTCCCTGGCTCTTGGCATGTTTGTAGCATGCTGAAATGGTATTCGAGCGTAGCGATATATAGCAATCCACACGTTCTGGATGACTTGTCATTCTCACCCTCGATGTTGTCTGATTCATAGTGATTCTTAATTGCAGACTACATCTTGTGGCTCAAGAAAGCTGTGTCATTTCTTAGATGGCATTCTTCGTTTTGTTTTTATAATGATAAATAGTGTCAAATCCTCAAATTATGTGCACTCGCATTGGGTGGTTAGGAGAAGGCAACCTAGGAATATATATCTCTGCCACCCGGACACTCCGCATGGCTCACCAAGATATATCTCAGGCACAGAATATACTATCTTCTCCTTTTATCTAATTTAATCAATAACGCTGAGATACTATGTCCAATTTCGCAACTAAAAGCAACTACATCGATCAATTGAGACTCTGTGAGGGCGTCCGATATGCAGCAGCAGCTAGCAGCTGGCTGCGACCGTGGATGAAGCCGGATACTCGTCCGGTCGACCAGGCAATTGTCTATCCTCCCCAAACGCCCCTATTCAACTCAAGTTCATCTCATAGCACTAGTCTGAGAATTTACCAAGGTGAACTATCATTGTTCAAGCAACTACATAGTCTTGGCTAGCGTTCAACTCCCACGTGGGCAGCCAGATCTCGGCAGATCATCCGAATATGACGAGGTAGACGATCAGCAGCAGATCCTATCACTCAATCCTTCAGATACCACCCAGATAGCACTTTATAGCACATTCAATTAGGTAAAAACAGTCGCCGACTAGTCAGGAATCCCAATGGATTGCCCGGTGCCTGCCTCGTTTCGACCATTTCGTGCTCCAAGAGAGGATCCTCTCGAGAAGAGACTCCGAACCCAGCAGTCAGAATGCAGCAAAACAGCCACCACCACGAGGTGAGATCGTACAGTCGTACATCCTGCCTGGTTTTCCGATGGGGGACTGACTCGAAAAATCGATAGTCGAAAGCCAAGCTCATTGCACCACGTGTGGTGCCATGTGGGAACCTCCACCCGAGGGGAAGTCATTGGTCTCGTCTTCGCGCAGGTGAAGGGACAGACGCTGTTACCATGGTTTGGGTCGTACTTTAGCGTTCATCGAGAAGAAGTGTAAACGAGACTAAGTTCTTTCACCAGCTAATTTGGTAGCCTGGATCGGGCTGGCTCGGCAGTCGATCCGGTGTGCCGTCTGGCGAGCTGGCGTGCATTCCCCCCCTGGCCCCAAAACTCCTTTAAATACTCCTCCCACGGGCCCGGTCTTGAGCACTCCTTCCTCCTGACCAAGCACAGTTCAGATTCTTTGCAGATCAACTGATTGATCTTTGCCACAGTCATCATGGGTCTTCTGCAAAAGAGTGCCAATCTGGCCTTGAGTCTGAGTGCGACCGCCTTGGCTCTGGGTTGTGCCGCCAAGGCCTCTCCCAGCGTCACCACCAAGCAGGGTGTTGTCTATGGTTTCTCCCAGAACGACACCAATGTCTATCTGGGCATTCCCTTTGCCCAAACCACCGCTGGTGAGAACCGGTGGAAGGCGCCCCTGGCTGCCACCGCCTATGAGGGGGGTAGCTTCGATGCCTCGGCCTTTGGTCCCTCGTGCGCCCAGGCCATGTCCGGCACGACGATCGTTGCCCAGAGTGAGGACTGCCTCAACCTGAACATCTGGACGCCCACCAGTGGCACTGGCCTGCCCGTCTTTGTCTACGTCTACGGTGGTGCTATGGTCACGGGTGGTAGCAGCAACCAGCAATGGCAGGGATGGAACTTTGCTCGCAAGGATGTCATCTACGTCAACTTCAACTACCGTGAGAGCATGTATGCCTCTCCCTATGCTCCCGAGCTTGAGGGGGAGTCGCAGAACTTTGGCATCCTGGATGTGGAGCACGCCCTGCAGTGGATTCATGCCAACATTGAAGGTCCGTATTTTGACTTTTTTTCCCTAATGCTTAACATTCCTCATTCCCCCCTCTCTGCCAAGTGGTAACTGTCCCCACTGACTTTGCGTTGAACAGCCTTCGGTGGTGACAAGTCGCGCATCGTGCTGGGAGGTCACTCCTCCGGTGGTGTCCACGTCGATGACTACCTCTGGAACCACCCCGACACCTTCCTGGCAGGTGCCATTGAGATGTCGGCCAACGCTCAGTCTGGCCCAGCCAATGCCCCCGTGGGTGTCGCCCTCAAGCAGGTCGTCCAGGACATGATCGATGCGGGTGTCTCCTTGGACTGCACTGCCGACGATTACACTCTGGACTGCCTGCGCAAGGTGGATACCTATGCCTTCCAGACCAGCTACTTCAACTCGACCTCCAACACGTGGTTTGGCCCCGTCGTAGATAACCTCACCCGCTTTTCCAACTACTCGGACCGTTTCGCCAACGGCCACTACCCCAAGTCGTTGCCGCTGATCGTCGGTAACTCGGACGAGGAGGGCAAGATTTTCGGCATTGTGTATGGGTCGGAGAACACGAACTTCTCCTCGTGGATCCGCACCTACGATGCCGACTTGGCGTTTGTGCCTGCCGATGAGCTGCTGGAGGCTTACAACCCCGACGACTATTCCTCCATCTCCCGGATGAGCGGTGCCTCGTATGGCGATGCCCGCTTCCACTGCGCGACCGACTACTTCCTGGACATGCGCTCGGAGGAGCAGAACACCTGGATCTACCGCTGGTTCGGCAACTACTCCAACGTCCTGGGTATCGCCGACATCGGCCCCTCCCACGGCAGCGAGGTTCCCTTCTTCCACGGTGGCAACGAGTGCTTCGCTAAGCTGACCGGAGTTACGGCTGCTGAGCAGGACCTGGCCGACTACATGAACGACTGGTTTGTTGCCTGGATCAAGGACCCCAGCGCTGGCCCCTGTTGGGATCAGGCCACGCCGGTGAACGGACCTCTGGCCCTTTTGGGTGTGCCGGGTAACGAGGAGGCCATCGAGACCGGAGAGACTGGCACCTACAACCAGCGTTGCCAGAAGGTCTACAAGCCCAACTACCCCAACTACCCGGTTGTCCAGAATCCCGTGGAGTTGGCTGCGGCCAGCTCTTAAGTGGGGAGGCGCGAAGCAGAGGAATTGAAAAGTAGGGGGGGGGGGGGGGATTCTGTTCAGCGCAGCATAGCGAACCTCGACATTTCATTCGGCTTCAAATTTTAATAATTAATTTTTTTCTTGTTATTAGACTTTCGCTTTCTATTGTGGGATTTGTCAGCGGGCTCGTTGCATGATTAAGCCTAAGTAGCAATTTCTAATCTACGTGAACCATCGTCACTCCATAATCCGAATGCGTCCAAATCGCCGATAGAGTTTGATCGGTACAAAGCTTACCCTCCCATCCCAGCCTGTGATCTTTCCAACGCACAGCTGGCTGCATCCGGGTGATCCCAGCGTAACGGTGTGAATTGGTTAGTGGATTCTAGACTTCTAGAAATCAATAGTTCGCACATGGCGTACCATGTTGTGCAGCATGCAGAAAGGTGTTCTGCACAGGGGAGACGGACGATGTCCGAAGAATGTTTTACATGGGTGGATCCGCAATCCTCACTGTGGGCCGCCGAAGTTTTACCTGGAGCAATCACAGCCAGTTCCACCAACGTTCTGAGAACTATCGATTTCCTTCTCCTACCCCGATCTCCGATGCCCCATCACGCAGGGTTATCGAGATGGTATGGTCCACGAGGGTCCCAATGCCTCGGGCCATACTCCCCTCCAGTGCTGGTCTGCCCACCACACCACCCCATCCTCCCCCCCTAAGCAGTGGCTACACCACGCAAAAACTACACAGGCAGGCAAAAACAACCGCACACCATTGAATCCAGATCAAGATTCTGAGGGAGGTCCCTGCGGGCCTTCCCCGATCCAAACTCGTGGGTTTGCTGGTTCCTCCAAACAAACCGCCACAACGAGCTTTCCAGCATGGGATAAGGTTTTCCCAAAATCCTCACCACGTAACGCTCCCTGGCAGGCTGCGCTGGTCGATCACGGTTTATTAATATTGACTGCCAGCAGCTGCAGCTGCTGCAGAGATGCCCTCTCGTCTCCGTCTGCTTTTGTTGTCGTGAATTTCTGCCCGCATCGTGGGTTGTTCGTCGCCATGGGTCGTCCAGATACCGGCCAAGTGGTAGGTCATCGTCATCAGAGATTGTTCGGAGCGGTATTTTCTTGCTAACGCACTACTTCGCGGTGGGCAGGTGTCGTGGTACATTGTCACTATCGTCGCGTGCATCTTCCTCGTCTGTCGACTCTGGGTGCGATGGCGGTTGTTGAAACGGTTGTATCTCGACGACTTGTTCGTCATTGTTGCGGCGCTCTGCCTGATCGGAGATTTGGTCATCCAACATTATATGTTTAACCTGGGTATGTACTTTACTGTCTATCGCTGCTTCCCCCGCTGTTCAAGTCCACCTGTATGCAGAGTGATCCGTGCGAGAGAGATCTAACGGTGGGCTTCCTCTAGGCATGTCGGATGCGGCCAACATGGACTCAGAGCAGACGATCAACATGATGAAGGTCAGTTTACGGACAGCATTCGGACAACGCCCGAATCCTGAGCCCCTCTTTCTCTGTGCCCTGCCCCGATCCAAGGCCTGCAGCCCGCCCGAATCCTCTACACACCCACTACGCTGAGACTAACTGCGGCTACTATCGATCGCTCTGTGACAGATGATCATCCCCGGATCCACCCTCTATGTGACGACGCTCTGGCTCATCAAGGCCAGCTTGGTGATCTTCTATAAGCGTCTCGCAGATCGCACCCGATACCAGACAGTGTACAACATCACTCTGGCCCTTCTGGCGGCGACCTGGTTGGTCCTGTTCTTCGATATCGTCTTCAAGTGCTATCCTCCTTCCCGACAATGGCGGAGCGTGGTTGATGCGGAATGTAAGTGGATGCGAATGCGGTGGAGGTGTCATGAATACCAGCAATACTAATGGGACTGGATGCAGTGGCGTGTCCAGAGAAGCCATCGACGATCAACTACTGGTTGACGATTCTTTGTATGCAGCCCCTTGTCCGATTTGCGATTGCTCGAATGCTAACCATGTTGCAGTCAACATCTTCACTGATGTCTTCAGTAAGACACCACAATTCAACTACGACATACTCCTTTGATTCTAACCCCATGAACAGTCATCTGTCTCCCCATTTCGCAGGTCGCCCGCCTGAAGATGCCCAAGAAGCAAAAGTGGGGTGTCATCTCCGTCTTCTTGCTGGGTGCCTTGGTCGTTATCTCGAGTAGTAAGTTGTACCATCAGCTCCAACAAGCAGTGCACAGTGCCATGTCTAACGATCGTTGCAGTCATCCGAGCCATCTACTCCCACCTCAACGAACAAATGATCACCTGCACCGTCTCCATGATCGAGGCCTCCATCGCCATCATCGCCTCCTGCCTTCCTGTCCTCCGCACCTTGGTTTTTGGGAGCCACTCGCGCACCGGGACGTACAGCGGGCGGCGCGGCTACGAGCTGTCCAACTCGGGGTACAACACCACCGGCGGCCCCACGAGCAAACAGCGGACCACTGTCTCGGTGACGCAGACGGCCAACACCCCGGATGATCTGTCCCGGCATGATTCCGAAGACGGCTTGGTCAAGGATCATGGAGCCTTGCCGTTGTCGCTGGAGAATGGTGCCGGAATTGCCGTCACGCGCGAGTACTTTGTGCACGAGGGGGAGTCAGATGGACGGAGCTTTCGGTAGAGGCTGAACTTGCCTCATAACAAGGCCTCTTTTATCTTGGGGAGCTTGACCCGCAAGGAAAAACAAAACTATTCATTCTTTAGTAGAAATATTTTCATTTAATTGTGACCCATGGAGTTTACGTCGTGTGATTCGCGTAGGGCTGTATCGGGTAGATTGTAGATTTGCCCATGTTATTCGGGTTCAGACCACCTCAACCGTACGTTGAATCTCTTTCAACTCCCAGATCTGGCTCCTCGGTGGATTTTGCTGCGCATTGAGCGCCCCATCAGCCGTGACGACGAGATGCATCGATTCTTTGGTGGGCAATTGACAGCAAGAGCAACTGGAATCCTGATTTCACTAACGTGTAAAATATAGACACCAAACGAGACATCGAGACCGCTGATACAGTCGACTTTTCTGCGATCGGAGATGGCTATTAAACGCCCGCTGTGCTCTTAATCCACAGTCATTGTTGGACTCTGAAAGGCGACGGGAGGACTTGAACAATCAATGGAACTTCTGTATATGGCATAATTGTTGAATCAAACTTGACAAATACATGAGACAAACTATTGCACCCTTGTAGTCCTTCATGCCTCCCACACGGCCTCAATAATAGCCATCGATGCTCCCTCCGGCGTCCAAACACGTAAATTGGCAAAGCGAGAATCAGCCCTCCGGAACAACTCAACCCAGTCTCGCCTCTTCTCGCTCCCTGGAGTTGAAGAGTGTAAACATGATCATGTCCAGGTCCCTGGGTAATCATATCAGCAATTCCGTCCCTATCGGCTTCGGAACGGAAGGCATGTACATACCGGACAGCACGCTCCTTAAGCAGGGACAGTAACCCTGGCTCAGGGAGCAGGTAGTCGTTCACAATAATCCGAGCTCCGGGTCGCAAGGCGGGAATAAGCGCCTGAAGAATCCGGACGCCATACTAGTCCGACCAGTTGTGGAAGATGTTCCGGAATAGATACGCATCGACCTGCACGGGTTGCGCTGTGAAGAAGTCGTGCGCCTGAAATGCCACTCTATCCCGCACCTCTTTTGACAAACTCTCTGCTGCGCCGTCGATCATAACCCGCAGGTCCTGGACGAGGAACTGGAGCTCAGGGTAGTCCTGGGCTACCAGACTGCCGACATTGCCCTTCGATGTGCCTACATCTACGACTGTTCCTTGCCCAACTTGACCTCAATCGTACCCTTGTACCAGGAAGGACGGTGCATTGTGGTGGCCGTAGGCAAATGTGAACATTGCAGAGGCAAATCGTCGAGCCATTTCAGGGTGTGATGAGTAGTACTGCCAGGGAGGCATGTCGGTGTTGTGATAGTCAGCCCAACCCCGGGTTACATATGAGTTAGCATAAATGAAGAGAGGAGTGGGGGGAGAAGACCGATCACCGACCGTTCGCCCAGGATCATCGCTGTGATATTCTCCCAACGCAGGAAGTGTTTAGGGCCGGTAAGAATGAGAGCATGACAGATCAAGTGAAGCGAAAGGCGTGCATACGTGGGCAGATCCCTGCCAGACCTCTTCAAACATGTACCCGAGCCCAGCGCGTGCGGTGGGATCATCTACCAGCCTGCGTGAGGCCGCGGTATGAGCGACAAAGCCCTTGCGGGGCTCTTGGGAGACATGATGGTAAGCCATGGCAAATCGCAGTGTGCGACGCAAGTTGGCCTCGTCGAATCCACATTTTTCAGCGAGCTCTCTGAAAGAGATTTCTCCGTGCACGGGGACGTGGCGGGCGGTGTCGAATCTATAGGTTGCCTGCAGGCTGACTTTATTCAACTGCAAACGAAGATCAGTGGTGAGAGTAACTTTCATCTATTAGATGACTTACCACCGAACGAAGGCAATTTGACGGCCCCAAGAAAAGGTTGTGAAGCTCAAGAGTAGACGACAAGACTTCTTCGCGGGCTGCTAACATGTGTCCCGAGAGGCCCAGCTCAACGGGACCGTTTTCGTCAAAACTAGTAGCCTGGAGGTCATTTTCCCGTAGATGACTGTCGATCTCTTTCGTCAATTCTTGAATGCGTGTTGCTAGCTCCACAATTCGACTGGGGTTCATGGTGAACATGAAGGAATATTCGCGAGAATGAAAAAGGTTGAGAAGGAGTTCGGTGCGTACGATTTTGACCGGATGAAGGTTGAAGATACCAGTGAAGCGGAATCCCGGGAGAGGAATGGTAGGAATGATCAATCTGAATTCAATTCAAGGAACGAAGATGACTCATTTCGCAAGCGAGGACAAGCAAAGGCGGCTGATTTGTCTCACCAACGTGCCTTGGTCCTTTCTGCGGTAGTTCACTGGCCAAAGCTATATTTTGCCAGACATCCACTGGCTAGGGCTTTGTAACATACTGTTGGTTGAGTGGCATTGTGACTAACAGTTTTACAAGGTGTTTGATCCAGAAATTCATGTTTGCTTTACCTAAGATTCCACAATTCACCAAGAATGCGACGACGAAGAATCGATCTGTCGATCATCGTGAGCAATGGATGATAGTCAGGATCATGTCAGTCTCCCATCATCACCACGGTCAATGGGTTTCAATGACTGGGTCACTTTCTATACCTCTTTTATCCTGGCCTTCCTGACGATGAGTGCCCTGTTCATCAAGAATGGCGAACGTTGTCGAGGGATGAGCAGCTGGGGTACATCGAAGCAGTGCAATATCTGAAAGATCAACTGTGTTGACTTGCACATTGACATACCCTCTACCATAACTTTCCCCACGTACACATTCACGCGGGGAACTCATGTAGGCAATTGTTGCCTGGTGTGATATACCCACTAGGACAATCCAGGCTGACCAGTGACTGACCAGAACACCACACCATCGAATTTCTAGCCTGGCACCGCTATTTGATCCATTAATGAGCAAGCACTCCGCGATGTTTGTGGCTACACGGGCCATGCAGTGTACTGGGTCTGGACTCTGGCTTTGGCGAATTGAACTGCCAATCCCGTGTGAGATCAGCAATGCGGGTTGGCGGCGACGGCAACCCTAACGATGGCCGCCAAATCATCCAGGGATCGTGTGTGCCTCCGGTTACTTTGCTGACCTCCAAGTTCTTTTCCTCGACTAATTCACACTCTCAGAATGCCTATCGCGTAGCTTTGCCGAGAGCGAGGCATTGAGAGACCAGGGGGACATCATACATACTTGCTCCATCGAGCAGTTGCTACTGATCGAAGACGAGTTGGACTTTGGTCTGACCCTGAAGGATGGACTGTATCTGAGCATCCCGCACACGGTGTACGATGACTTTGGGACGATCACTGCCTTTGCAGGTTTGTTCGTCCTCATTCTGTTTGCCCTACTAGTCTATGTTTACCGCTGTTTTGTTTGTCTTGACTGTCAATCATTCCACGTTTCGGAGACCGCTTTTAACATGGACAAGGTACATACAGATGGGACCGATTATGGTGGACGTGGCAGCAGACACTCCCTGAGTCACTTTCTGCCCGTCTTAATGAGCGGCTTTGCATGGAGGGCTTGGACCAGATATGTGGGTGGCTGCTTTCATTGACACCAAGCATGGTCTGCTTTGTTACAGGTACTAAGCGTGCTGCCTGTGAGGTTTGTAGAAGAGTACTCATGTTCTGAATAGATTCAGGGAGGTTCGTTTTGAATCTCGATTACGTTTGTATTGGATGGGTTAAAGAAGCGCCCACATGAAAAATGTGTCTCTATTCTATACTTGATAGAGAGAGAACGAATAATGCCAGCGACAGATCTTCTCTCCAGACACTTCCAAGGAGACCGATCATGGGAGCGAGCCACAGCTGGCGACAGTGTGGACATCTGGGCGCAGCGTGCGCTGAATGCGGGGACGCGAACCATTCTATCACGCATTGGGAATGGAAGGCGTAGCCACACTGGATCCTGCACCACTCGAGAGGCCCTCCATGGCTCTCCCCGAGCGACTGGTGGCAGATCAGGCACGTTTCACTTCCTTGGCTTGAGCGAGGTGCCGTGGGGAGATTGTCGATCCCCATCCGGTCTGCTACCTCCGCGCCAAGGTACTGCTGCACGATTCCGCGGACAATGCGCTGCACAGTGGCATCCTGCAGGATGACCAGTCGAGAGGAACAATAGCCCGGAAGCCGCTCTCTCTCCAGCGCAGGCAGAATCTCGGGCCCGAACTCGGCGACCCAGCTGTCGGTGTCTGCAACATTCCGTAGTCGCTCAGCACGCATCTCATCATACATCGGACTAAACCGGGCCCAGGTCACTGACACCACCTCGAGCTGGGCGAGAAAGAGGTGGCTGGGCCGGTGATCCATATTGCGAGATTGTCTCAGAACGTACACACATAGCCCCAAGAATCTAAGAAGATCAAAATCGACTAGGCCCAGCCGGTGTGTGATCGGCGAGTCTCTGATCTCCGGTCTGTAGACCTCGCGGCTAAGCTCTATATACCGGTGGGTCAACTGAACACACAAGTCTCCTCGGGCCTCGAAGACCTCGGGAGTAAGCTTGGGAGACTCGTAAGCCATCGCGATGACAGTATCAGATAGCAGGATTTCGGTGTTTCCAGCCCCAATATGGTGATGGCTTACGAGTAAGTCCTAGGTCTCGTTGGACCTCGAAGGTCTTGAAACTCGAGTCCGTTTATATAACAGGTTACCAAGGAGTGGTTGAACAAAGACGCAGAACCCATGCTTCTATTGGAAAGAAGACTTTCAGTATGATATCTTTGTCAATAATGAAGACTACCAGAATCCAACATTACGTGTGTCATTCTCCTTGTCGTCGATGCGTTATTCACGTGAAATATTCCCGACCAAGAGTTTTCATCGCAGACAAGTGTTGTTTGCTTTTTAGGATCACGGATTTTGTTACAACGGATCTACATCGTCTTCCAACCCGTCACCGCCGTCGTCACAGAAACCAAAATGATCTCCCATGGGAATCGGCTCGACACTATCTCAATAGCAAGCGGTATGGCTGGTGCCAAAATCGCGAAGTTCATGCCACTCCTGCATCGATGCACCTGACCATCACCAGCCGTGAATTTCCCAGAGGTGTAGAGCGGAGTATTGTCCGCGTAGCACTGGATGGCCTGGTAGATACAGTGGTCAGCAAATCTCATGTTTACTTTTTAAGGTTATCATACCTGACGCAGGGCATCGAAGCAATGCTCAACATGCCCCAGACCGCTTGGATGGCTGAATGGTCGCTTCTCCACGGCTTCCCTGTGGAATCAAGGCTCTTTACTCTCTGTTCCGCGCCACCATATCGGAGTTACTTACGAGCCAGTGTAAACAATGGTAAGCGTCGAGCAGATAGACTCCCTTGCTGGTGTCGTTAGGCATGGACATAGTGTCCGACCAATTCCGAGCGGCGGCCCATTGGCGGTCAACTGCAACAAAGCCATGGCAAGGGAGAATGGTGTCCCAGAGACCATCAGTTTCTGGATGCGCTTTTACTGATCCGCTGTATTCTGTGTGCCAATATATTTGACTGCAGATAGTGGAGAGAGGCTGTCTCAACGCTGCATGGGAAACTAGGGTTAGAATTCGCCTCAGTGACAGTCTGGTGGAGTATGCTCGTTGGAGCCCGCATATTGGCTCAATCGGATAAGGCGAGCAATGTAGAGGAAGGGCAATAGGTACACAACTGCTGCGAGGATATATAGGAAACGTCTGAAATTGGCCTTCTGGCCTTCTTGATGGCACCCGCCGAGGGAGAGTGTGAGGTAGCCTGACGTTTGCATCTTATTGGTGAGTGTCTCTCAAACTTTTAAATCAGCACTGCGGTGAAAGACGTCGTTCCTCCAATTCTTATGCGGCGAAGTTCACCTGGCAAGATTCTTTCCTGGCGCGGACAAGCTAGTGTCATTGTGAATAATGCGTCTAAACCTGCAGCCTGCGAGTAACCACAAGCGACTGCGTCTTTTTCTGGACCTGATTGTCCCAGTCTTGCAGACGTAGCAGACACCGTTAGAAAGCCTTTCCTTCCAAACCGCGCCCGAATACCAAGATCCAAACTCACCTAACAAGCCCTGATTAGAGTGCTTTCCAACCCTTTTCTCTCTAAATGTGTACCCTTCCCACAATGCTCTGTGGTCTTAATGTCTCGGTGGTGCAAACCCAACAAAGTCAGCAGTAAAGTGAGATTCAACAAAGAGCGACAAGAACTTCAGGTGTGGTGGTAGATTCTGGGCTGTTTCTCGCAATTAAGGGTCCGGTTAAGTCAACACCAACCTCAAACTCCGCATGGGAGCACAACTTAATATTGAGCTTGGGGGCTAGCGTGGCGCTGACTGGCTGGGACCAACAAAGGCAACCATAGCCCTCGATTCGGCCCGTTCTTGCCAGGGACTAGCTCTTACGCCAAGAGAGCCCGAATGTTGGAGATGACATTGGGAGTGGTTTGCGCGATGGCCCCCACGCTGCGCCTCTGTATGGCGTTGCGGGAGCGGATAGGGCTCTTCAGTCTACCTACCATCCTGAAACGGACCCCATATCGAAGAAGGCTTTGCCAGCTAATAGAAACTAGCTTGACTATGTTACATTGTTGCCCGTCGCTAGTTTACTACTTAAGTCACGAACACCTCTTTGAGGACCCGATTCGTCCACTTGAGAGAGTTATTATCGTGAGCAACCGGCACCTAGCAATTTGTGTGTCCACGAGGTCGGGCCTCCTAGGTCAAACTGAACCCCTTCTGCCCTATACCAATCTGAACTCTGTGAGTGCTTTCATTTCATATCCGCGGCTCGCGCATCGCAACTCCAGAAATGCACTTCCAATGTTACCTGTAACAAGCTGCTATTTAGCTGCACAGCCTCATTGTGACACTGCTGTCCTAGTGAACTGTGGCATTTGGGCCCCGATCACCCAGTTGGGAGTTAGTAGACTTGTTACATCTTTTTTCTGAATAAGCGCGAATATTAAGTTCTTCAGGAGATATTGTCCGACGACCTAGAGTTGCTCCATTATCTCCTTCATGGAGATTAAGGGTGTTCATGACCCGCCGAACCCTTGTTCACATCACACAATCCATCGTGAGTCTTTGCCGCGTGAATCTTTAAAGGCAATCAAGGCTCCACTCCCTACTTCTAAGCTCCCTCCAAGGGATCTAATGCCCGTCGAGTTGTTCCTGCCAACCAACACCGATGTTTCATCATTCCTAATGATATCTCGGCATTTTCACTTATGATCATGAATCACGTCTGGACTGCGCAGTATAAGAAGGGTGGGATGCTTGGTCACTGAGTATGTCTGGCATCAAGCGAGCAGATTCAAAATCTCGAGCCGATTTCGACTCAGCCATTCCTTCTTTGCTCTTTTCGAAGCTATCAAGTAGCTTAATCACACTCCTTTACAGCAGCAGCACATCCGACTGTCACTCATTCCTTACTTCAAATCGTGATTTACTCTCTGTTTAAGCCTTGAGCACTGCATTTGAAAATGCGTTGGACACAGATCCTTAGCGTGAGCAAAGGGAACGCATTCCCCATCCCCATACCAGACCTAATTTCTGTGAATAGTTTATGGCAGCCGGTTCCCTGGCTGGAATTACTACTGCAGCTCCGGTGGGAGATCGCAACGTCGAACTCGCTGAGCGCGACGATAGCCTGAGCTCCCGGTCTACCAGTGCGACGGTGACTGTCAGCGGGCTGGCAGTTACCTCTATCAATAACAAGGATGGCAAAGGGGCTGGCAAGGACTCCTACACTATGTACACCGGGGATGGTTCGACCAGCGCTGGTTGGCCCGCCCAGTCTGAGTGGTAAGCCTGTCCTCAACGCTGGATCAATGTGCCCGTGTTAACCGTTCCTCTAGGGTCTCGTTCGAGAACATGTAAGCCAATCCACCCATGCCTACCGGAAATGTTCTCGCAATAGCCAGCTAACAAAACCTTGAAAGGTGGAGTGCCAACAAGGCCACCATCGGCAAGTCCTGTGCTCAGTTCGGAGTGGCCGACAACTCCGCGACTGAGACCCAGGAGTTGTACGATGCGATCCAGGAGGTGGCGACCAGCTCGAAGGTTGACCACCGGTTTATCCTGGCGGTGGTAATGCAGGAGTCTAAGGGTTGTGTGCGGGCCCCGACCTCGACGTACAGTGTCAGCAACCCCGGGCTGATGCAAAGCTACAAGGGCACTGGGACCTGCAACAACGGGGGCAGCGTAAAGAACCCCTGCCCCAAAACGGAGATCGTGCAGATGATCAAGGATGGAGGTATGTTTCTCGCATCGGCCATGTCTCTCTAGGTGACCCAGCTAATGCCTTGCAGCTATTGGAACCAGCGACGCTGATGGATATGGTCTCGCCTCGCTGCTCGACAAGTCTGCCCGGACCAATGCTGCGGGCTTCTATCGTGCGGCCAGAATGTACAACTCGGGAGCCTGGTCCATCCCGTCTTCTGGTAATCTGAGTGGGGCTGGGGCGACGGCTTGCTACGCTTCTGATATTGCTAATCGCTTGACTGGGTGGGTGGGTGCCGCCACCAAGTGCACTGCCTGAGTATGGGATTCGGGTGTGTGAGCTGTAGTGCAGTGGGGGTGTCATAATTCGGTCTATGTATTAGTTATACAATCTGCTGTTCCCGTTCCTTATCCTATCACACTATCACATGCCCTATATATATACCATTTTTCTAAATCTATAGCACCACCTAATAATCAGCGCTATGCAGGCTATGAAGGGTCTGACTCAGCAATGCATGCACAATTTCCCCTCTCGGAGACGCCCGTTGCCAATGACTTGTTTCTTCGGATCGTCTCTGCATTTCGACACTGATCGGGCTGCAATCGTTTTCGAAAAGTCCTAGAGAAGGGCCACAGCCTGCCCTATTTGCAACCGGAGATCTTGGTGGAGGAAGTACAGTGGGTGGTGGATCAATTGAAAGGGAGAGTACCAGGACATTGACGGAGATGGCAAGGTATGTTTCTTATTTGACGTAGACTCTATGCACTACACTCATTATGTGAGGTGTTTCACCTATATTACTAATGAAACATTCCTTCGAGGTGCTGTTCCCACTCAGCCAAGGCCTCACAGCTTGGGTTTCACTGGATCCACCTCGTTGCGCTTCTTCACAATTAGAGGATCTTTTGGGGTGTGAGGGAATTTGGGGAGGTTCTTGACATCCACCCCAAGGGTGGCAGCCATACTCTCCGGCGTCAACAAGGTGGCAGCATTCCGGTAGCCCACGTCTTGAGGCATGGGCTGATCGAAGAAGATCAAGAAGTGGATTTTACCATCTCCCACTGCCTCAATCTGATGCGGGTAGGCCACAGGGATGTAGTACACATCACCGGGCTTCAGGATATAAGTATCGACTGACCCGTCGGGGTCCATGACCGACATGCGCCCCGTACCCTCAGCCACGTATCCCATCTCGGCCGTCGACGGATGCCAGTGCGGCTCCCGCATGCCGTCCTCCTCTACTCGCAGAGAATACATGGACATGTTGGGCAGGGCGGGCCAAAACTGACTCTTTGCTGTTCGTGCGGTGCCAAAATCATGGGAAGTGGGTGGCGTCATTC